TTTGCTAGCACCAGTTTCATGATTACGGGAGGTATAGTTTTAATTGAAGCTTAGTATGAAAAGTTCCGGCCCGTATTATGAAATTTGGCTTGCCCGTATTACGAAAACTCCGAGCAGAGGGTTCGAATGTACTTTGGAAATACTGTAATTCTGAAAGCATTTGTTTCTCGTCACCAGCCAAGGGATAGACATGCTCAGGTGCTAGTGCACCATAAAATGATAATTTGCTTCTGCCATTTATTTTCTTTCCCCACCACATCCTCGTGTAACAGCTAATAACTTAAATAGGAAATTTTGCAGCGAACTCATGTGAAGGATATCTGGGTGCAATCAAAAGAAGGAATAACAAGGGATACCAAACTTGGAACCTCTTGGAGATCAAGAAAGTACATAAGAGGCAAGTTTCCCTGAGTTCTTTTCCTGAAATCCAAACTTCTTGAATAAATCTATTCAATGATGAAGTGCCATTCGCTTTATTTTCTTATGTCCATGTTGATGTTCCAGTTTACATCAGCAGTTCCATTCAAGAGCTTGATTACTCAAGGTAATATTAGTAGGCCCGATGAGGACCCTTTCTATATTCCAAAGGAAGGCTATGAAAAGCTCAAGCTAGGAGAAGTGATCAACTACAGAAAATTAACCCAACCATTGGGTATTTTATACTTCGAGATGAAGGTCGAGTCCACCTACCAATTTTTGGTTCGTTCCGAGGACTCCTTCGGTAATCCAAATGCTATTGTTACTACTGTCATGGTTCCTCACAATGCTGACCCATCAAAGATCTTATCTTATCAAGCAGCTGTTGACGCTGCTGATCCAAACTGTGCTCCTTCATATGCTCTTCAACTTGGCTCTGACCCAGGAACCTGGCTCACCACCAACATCGAGCAACTCTTTTCACAAGCTGGTTTGTATGAAGGTTGGATTGTCGTTATTCCGGATTTCTTGGGTCCAAAGTCTGCCTTTTGTGTCGGTCTCCAAGCTGCGCATGCTACATTGAACTCTTTGAGAGCAGTCACAGCTTCTGGTGACATTACTGGTGTCAATAAAGATGCTGAAATTGTTCTCTGGGGATACTCTGGTGGTACCCAACCAACCGTGTGGTCTGCCACCTTGTTTGAGCAGTACGCTCCTGAGTTGAACATTATTGGTGCCGCTGCTGGTGGAGTTTTGGTGAATCCTAATAATATTGCTCACCTCACCATGGGTGGCATTTTTTCTGGTCTTGTCGTGAATGCTATCAATGGTTTTGGCAACGAATATGGTGACTTGAATGACTTCATTAAGGATAACATCTACAAGGAAGTCCAAGACAAATTTTTCAAGGCTAGAACACAATGTTTGGTTCCAAGTCTAATTGAAACTTTCTACACGACATGGGAAGACATTTCTCCTCTTGGCGATAAGCTTTTGGAAGCTCCACTTTTCAAGAAATACATTGAGATCAATAACTTGCTTAATTTGAATGCTACACCATCAGTACCATTTTTCTTCTACAACTCGCAAGATGATGAAATTATTCCTCCTGCTGATGCTGATGACCTTTACGACAAGTGGTGTGCCCAAGGTGTGACAATTGAGTATCACCAAGATGAAATTGGAGAGCACATTACCCAGGCTGTTGCTGGTTCTGGCCTTGCCTTCAATTGGATTAAAAGAAGACTCACAGGAGCTACTTTGGAAAAGGAATGTAAAAAGACAATTTCGTTCTCCAATATTTTGAACTTAGAAGGTTTTGGTAGCTTCGCCGAAATTCTTGGAGATGCTCTTTCAACTATTCACGAGAAAGAAATAGGACCAAAATCACCTACTTCTTCTGTATTGATTTCGAACACCACTGTTACCCACAAATCATCCAGCTCATCTAGCGCTTCGACTATCGTTGCCTCTAAGACAAGCTCAAATGCCACTTCGACTGCTACATCCAGCTCATTATTGGGCTCTCTCATCGGTCTTATCTTCTAATTGCATTAAAATAGCAGGAGACTTAATTAAGAGTCCAGCACTCGTATATACCACATAGAGTAGATAAGAATAAAATAAATAGTATGCATCGTAGGGTTATCAACTCTGGTTGAATTTCAGCTTCTTTACAATTAGTATCCTTGCACTTCACAATGGCCTAATCAGAGATTGTAATACAATTGCCTATCTTATTCGTCCTTAATTGGCACTTCTGGCATTCCTGATAAGTTTATGATTCAATAGTTCCGGAAACTAATACTCCAGTTTGCGGAGATTGCTCTTCATGTACAAAACGCAGATACCTCAATTATGAACTGACATTTGTCGATGAAATTTAAAAAATGAGGGTATTTTAATAATTCCCGGGGTAGAAATTATGTATAAAGTCACACTGAACATAACTCTAGTGTGTAGTCTAATAATGTTGGGATTAGAGATGTAGAAACAATTCCACTGAGATTGACCTGTGCATCTGAATAATAAAACTTCCTTAATGCACTGCCATGCGCCGAACACGAAAGTCTATACAAATTAAGAAATCAAGAGAAAGAGATACTCAATTGTGTAACTAAAGAGACACGTCTAAAGATATGGAAATCCATCTAATAGTCATATCTATCCCATAGCCCATCAATATCACGTGCTCCTCTGATAAGTCACCAACATGAATGCAAGAGAAGCCCAGTAACCAACTGGCACCAGTGCCCGGAAACAACCCCAAAAACATACTCAGCTCACTACTCCACACAGAAGAGGGGGGGTTGGATGAAACACCACCAATTCCAGCCACGCGCCATACTTGCAGACCCACGCCCATATTGCCAAACTGATCTAGCCCATGGCCATGAATTGATGGTGCGCACACACCGGGCGATAAACCTTGTCCTGCATGGCGCACCCCAAACTGCCCCAGCTCCCTGCAGTGGCGCCGGGTAACTCATCTCATCTGCCGCAAATTTTCAGTCCTGTCCGCACGCGAAAAAAACGCTGAAAATTTAGCGCTGATCAACAAATTGAACTTCAAAAAAAAATTCTGACTTCAGGCCCACCTGCTTCTACTGTGATATTGAAGTTGTACTAATTAGTACGGAGATATTACAAGGTATATTTTAAAAAATCCCAAAAAAAAATTACAACCCCTGCCCAGTTCCCAGCCCCCTCAGTACCCACCATGTCTGCCGCTGAAACTAACCAAGTCCAAGAATCCTTGGAAAAGTTGAACCTCGAGTCCAACGCCACCACCGAAGAAGTTACTGCTCCAGCTGCTCCAGCCGGTGAATCTGAAGAAGCCGCTGACCAAGCTTCCGTCAACGACACCTCCGCTTCCCTCTACGTTGGTGAATTGAATGTCTCCGTCAACGAAGCCACCTTGTTCGAAATCTTCTCTCCAATCGGTCAAGTTGCTTCCATCCGTGTTTGCCGTGATGCCGTCTCCAAGAAGTCCTTGGGTTACGCTTACGTCAACTTCCACAAGCTCGATGATGGTGAGAAGGCCATCGAAGACTTGAACTACTCTTTGATTGAGGGCCGTCCATGCCGTATCATGTGGTCTCAAAGAGACCCTTCCTTGAGAAGAAACGGTGATGGCAACATTTACATCAAGAACTTGCACCCAGCTATTGACAACAAGGCTTTGCACGACACCTTCTCTGCTTTCGGTAAGATTTTGTCCTGTAAGGTTGCTACCGATGACATGGGTCTCTCCAAGTGTTTCGGTTTCGTCCACTACGAAACCGCTGAGGCTGCTGAAGCTGCCATTGAAAACGTCAACGGTATGTTGTTGAACGACCGTGAAGTTTACGTTGGTAAGCACATCTCCAAACAAGACCGTGAATCCAAGTTTGAAGAAATGAAGGCTAACTTCACTAACATTTACATCAAGAACATTCCATTGGACTTCTCCGAAGAGAGCTTCAAGGCTTTGTTCCAACCTTACGGTGCTATCACCTCTAGCTACTTGGAAAAGGACGCCGAGGGTAACTCCAAGGGTTTCGGTTTCATCAACTTCGAAGACCACGAAGCAGCTGTCAAGGCTGTTGATGAATTGAACGACAAGGAAATCAACGGTCAAAAGATCTACGTCGGTAGAGCTCAAAAGAAGAGAGAAAGATTGGAAGAATTGAAGAAGAGATACGAGACTGCTCGTTTGGAAAAGATCTCTAAGTACCAAGGTGTCAACTTATTCATCAAGAACTTGGATGACACCATTGACTCCGAAAAGTTGGAAGAAGAATTCAAGCCATTTGGCTCCATCACTTCCGCTAGAGTCATGGTTGATGAAACCGGTAAGTCCAAGGGTTTCGGTTTCGTTTGTTTCTCTGCTCCAGAAGAAGCTACTAAGGCTATCACCGAAATGAACCAACGTATGGTTCTTGGCAAGCCATTGTACGTTGCTTTAGCTCAACGTAAGGATGTTAGACGTTCTCAATTGGAACAACAAATCCAAGCTCGTAACCAAATGAGAATGCAAAACGCTGCTGCTACCGGTGGTATTCCAGGTCAATTCATGCCACCTATGTTCTACGGTCAACAAGGTTTCTTCCCACCAAACGGTAGAGGTAACGCTCCTTTCCCAGCTCCAAACCCACAAATGATGATGAGAAGAGGTCAACCATTTGCTGGTCCAGAACAATGGCCTAGACCAGGACCAAACGGTCAACCACTCCCAGTTTACGGTATCCCACCAGCCGGTTACCCAGACTTCCAAGGTCAAAACATGCGTCAACCAAGAGGTGGATACTACCCAAACAATCGTCCTCAAAACGGTAAGCGTGGTAAGGACTTAGCTGGTATTATTGCTAACGCTCCAGAAGAGCACCAAAAGAAGATCTTGGGTGAAGAATTGTACCCAAAGATTGTTGCTACTGGTAAGGCTCCTGAACCAGAAGCTGCTGGTAAGATCACCGGTATGATGTTGGGATTGGACAACCGTGAAATCTTGGCTTTGTTGGAAGATGACGAATTGTTCAACACCCAATTCGAAGCTGCTTTGGCTGCCTTCGAAGAGTACAAGAACTCCGAAGCAGGTGAACCTCAAGTCTAAACTGATAATGTTGAGATTGTATTCTATTTAACATATTAATGTAATGGTATTTGGGTTAATGGATTTATTAGATACAAAAAATGAAAAAAATTTGAAAAGACTGAACAAACCATTTTTTGGGACTTACGAGTCCATGTAGAAGTACCGCTTACATAGTAGCACCGATAGCAAGGTGGTGGGTCGGCGAAGTGATTGCGAGTACTCTATCGTCTCGATGAACACCGCTACGAGGGTCTTTGTGATCAAACCATTTTTTGATTTTCTCTACCAGTTCAGCTGTTCTTCTACGCTAAGAAGTACCAATTACAAGGTCCAGTAGAGAAACTGAGTTGATTCCAGCCAACAAACACTTACTGGTTTGTTCTTGTTGCATCATGAGGGCAAACCAATGCGGTAATCGGCTCTGCAGCGTTTCTAAGAAGTCGTAGAAAAGTTGATAGACGGAATTGCCGATCGCAAGCCTGGCAGAGCCTCTGCGTGGGAGCAACTTAGATTCTTCAGAATAATTCACCAAATCATAGCTTTAGTATTAATCTGAAGGATCTGGGACTGAAATTTCAAGAATGGGCAGTGGGCAATGCCTACCTTGAAACCGCAGTTATCGGTATTTCTGCCCCTGATTCTTGGTGTTCTGATGTCGCTGATGCAGGGCCCTCTACAGCGCAAATTTGTAACCACACCAGGTAATGGTACCAGAAATGGAGGGGAAGCTGGCACCCAACCATTACTGACAGGTTCTAGCGGTGGATGGTGTTAATACTGCTGTAAGCTGGAAGTACCACGCCTATATCTGGTGGGACGTCTTCTGGTGTCGCTCGGGTCATAACCAGGCTTCCATGCATGGTTACGTAATCGCTGACCAAGGTACCAACATGGCAATCATAGGTGGAAAGGCAACTCAGCAATAAGCACATCCATAAATAACAACCGTGTCCTTCCTATAAAACATTTCCCTTCCGCAAGCTTTTTACCTGCCTAATATTTCACAATTTCCCCCATTATATATCCATTGGCCTCATAAACATGACTAACCTCGACTTCTTTGCCTACCCGTCGGACGGACCCGTGGTGAAGCCCGACAAGGGTATGTCCGGAAGAGTGCTCAACGTGATGACACTGTTGCCCACCCTGATCTACAAGAGCCAAGATGGCGAATGGGACGTGGAGCCTGTGCGTGGAAACCTGGCCCTCTACCTGTCACACTTCTTTCTTGACCAACAAACGGAATGGGAAACCCATTTGATCGCATGGACTGGAGAATTGGTCAACAAGCTGAACTCGGGTACTTCGGTGACTTCTGATAACATTCAGGAGGATCCGCTTTATTTGGACGACAACGACAAGCATGTCCTTGAAGGCAAGATCCGCAAAGGCAGCCGTACCGACAACGTTCATCCTGTCTGGTTGTTGAGAAGAGACCAAGAAAGGTGGAGAAGATATGCGGAGGACTACTTGTGGCCAGTGTTCCACTACATTCAAGGCCAGCCTTCCGACGGAAGAGCTGAGGCCCAGGCATGGCACGATTATGTCAAGTTCAACGAAGCATACCTCAAGAAAATCAAGTCCATCTACCGTCCCGGAGATATCATCTGGATCCATGACTACTACCTCTTGTTGTTGCCCCAATTACTTCGTATGGAGTTCCCAGATGCCTTTATCGGCTTGTATTTACATGCTCCATTCCCATCTTCCGAATACTTCAGGTGTCTTTCCAAGAGAACTCAATTGTTAGATGGTATGTTGGGTGCTGACAGTGTCGCTTTCCAATCAGACTCATTCAAGAGACACTTCTTGTCTTGCTGTGCAAGAGTTCTTGGGTACGATGTTACCCATGATAAGGTGCTTGCATATGGTTCTTCGATCTTTGTGGAGACTATGCCCATTGGAATCGACACCGCGAAGACTGAGAATGATGCTTTCAATTCGGAAATCGATGAGAAAGTTAAAGCCCTTCGTGAAATTTATCACGACAAAAAGATCATTGTTGGTAGAGATAGACTTGATACAGTACGTGGGGTTGTACAAAAGCTTCAAGCATTTGAGATGTTCTTGCAGATGTATCCAGAATGGAGAGACAAGGTGGTTTTGATTCAAGTGTCTAGCCCTAGTTACACTCAATTTGCAAAGGTTGAAAAGAAGGTGTCCGAATTGGTCAACCACATCAACAGTGAATACGGTAATTTGAACTCTACTCCCGTATTGCATTACCAAATGCGTATTGCCAAGGAAGAATACCTTGCCTTATTAAGAGTTGCTGATTTGGCTTTGATTACATCCATCAGAGACGGTATGAACACAACTTCCCTTGAGTTTGTGATTTCGCAAAAGGAAAATAACTCTCCATTGATCTTATCCGAATTTACAGGAACTGCCTCGGTCCTCAATGAGGCCATTTTAGTCAATCCTTGGGACTCGGTTGGGATTGCAAAGACGTTGAATGATACGCTCTTGATGTCTGATTCAAGTAAGAAACAGTTGGAGAAGAAGTTATACGACCAAGTTACCTCCAACACTATCCAGAACTGGACTTCGAACTTCTTGGGCCATCTTATTAAACATGTCTCCAAGAGTCACCAAACTCATCATACACCTGCATTGAACCGTCCATTATTATTGAACAATTACAAGAACTCTGAGAGAAGATTATTTTTATTTGATTATGATGGTACTTTGACCCCTATCATCCGTGATCCTGCAGCGGCAATTCCCTCATCCAGGTTGAATGATATCCTTGATACTTTGAGTGCTGATCCAAAGAACCAAATTTGGGTTATTTCTGGTAGAGACCAAGTATTTTTGGACAAGTGGCTTGGTTCCAAGAATATCGGGTTATCAGCAGAGCACGGGTGTTTCATGAGAGATGTGGGATCTAAGGAGTGGGTCAATTTGGCTGAGAGCTTCGATATGTCGTGGCAAAAGAAGGTAGAGGATGTATTCAAGATCTACACCGAGAAGACTCCTGGATCCAATATTGAAATCAAGAAGGTAGCTTTGACTTGGCATTACCGTCGGTCAGATCCTGAGTTGGGTCTGTACCAAGCTGAGAAGTGTTTTCAGGAATTAAAGGATACCGTTGGTAAGGAGTATGAGGTTGAAATCATGGCTGGTAAGGCCAACATCGAGGTGAGACCCAAGTTCGTCAACAAGGGTGAAATTGTCAAGAGATTGGTGTTGAACCCTCACGGTGAGAAACAGGATACCCTGCCAGTACGCAAGCATCGTAGCGATGTTCCTTTGGACCAACTTCCTGACTTCATGTTGTGTCTTGGTGACGACTTGACCGATGAGGACATGTTCAGATCGTTGAAGGAGATTGAGGCCGAATGGCACTTGAACGACTTGCCCAAGAACGAGTATGGGTCCTACGGAGTGTACCCTGTCGCAGTCGGTCCTGCCTCCAAGCAGACGATTGCAACCTCACATCTCAATGAGCCAGCGCAGGTATTGGAGACTTTGGGCCTCTTGGCGGGCCAGGTCTCCTTGTTCGAAAGTGCAGGTTCCGTAGACTTGGACGACCGTGGACACCTTGAAAATAGTGAGTCCTCGGAAAAATCTAAGTCTGCCATTAAGGCTGCCTCTTTGAAGAGGGACCAGCCAAAGGTATAGAGACAATAGAGTTGGCCAGTGATCTGGCAACTACCTCGAAAGTATAGCACTCAAAGCCCCTGTAGAAAATCTTGCCGTGAAGTCGTGTTCTTGCTGCCATAGTATTATTGGTGGACTACGTCATTTGTGTGGTGATCTGATAATCCAGTTCTAAACGTCCAACAGCAAATAATATGCCATGTATTAGTAAAAACAACTGTTCACCACTCCAACAGCTCGTTTTCCAGCTACAAAAAACTAACAATTCATGTTTGGTTCCCAATGTTCAACTGCAATTGATAGTTATGAATTTAGCAACTATTCACATTGGAAGGTTTTATCTACAGTTAAAGTAATAGCTACCATTAATCAGTATTTATAGCTATCCACAATGAAACATCTAATTAGTAGGTTAGAGGAGTAATATTCGTATGAGGTTCTAATAGCTCCAGCTCAATAGTAGTTATGATTTACTAGTACCGAATTCTATAATATTCTGGTCTTGGTTTTCGGCTCTCGCTGCAGGGAAGGTTTGAATACCGCAACCCTAGAAAACCCGACTCTACCCGAAGAGGCCAACTCTTGTTAGATACATTTCAAACTTGCTACACCCATCCCAAGGTAAAAAACGCTGGCTGTGGCCTTCCACAGCCATACGTTCGGAGATTTTTGTGTGTGCTACAGCTACTTTTGACGGGATCTCGGCACCTGGATGCAATTGCAGGAGCTACCTGCAGGCCATCATCGGCTAGTATTTCAAGCCTCGGGGATTAAATTCCTACACCATCACCATTATCACCATGAGTTTCTTAAACTGGGGATTTAGAGCAAACGTACAGGTCCACAATGGCGTCTCCGCCGAGTTGCCCTTGAAGTCAGGCTCGAGCGGCAAGTTTTCCAGCTTCGTCGACTCGTTGAACTTCCCATCCAAGTTGTGGTTGAACCCATTGCTCTTCAACGGAGTGCTCCAGACATTGTACTACACCTCAGCAGGGTCTAAGGTTAAGGTGTTCTATGGCAGAGAGCTCTTCACGTACGCGGACGAGGGTATCTGCTCGTTGGACTGGGTGATTCCTGCCGAGCCCAAGGACGAGTTTAACGACAAATACAAGGCCACCTTACCGGAAGGAAGCCCCAGATTACATCCTAACACCCGTTTTTTCAGCGACAAGGAATTGTTGCAAAGAAAGGAAGCCTTGGCCAAGTCCACAGCCCCTATTGTGGTGATTCTCCATGGACTTGCTGGCGGAAGCCACGAGCCTCTTATCCGTCACCTCACAAGCATCATCAACCCCGACTGGGACACGGTGGTGTTGAACAACCGTGGGTGCTGCCGTACCAAGATCACCACTGGCAGTCTCTACACTGCCTTGGCCACTGGCGACATTGGCGAGGTGTTGACCGATTTGCACGAAAAGTACCCCGAGCGTCCCATCTATGCGGTAGGATTCTCGTTCGGAGCCATCATGTTGGCTAACTACTTGGGAGAGGGCACCGATATCGTCAAGGCTGCCTGTGTGGTTGGCTGTGGCTGGGACTTGGTGGACAGTTCCTACCACATGGATAGCTCCTGGTCAGGAAGATACATGTTTGGACCGGCCCTCACCTCGTTTTTGAACAAGTTGGTGCAGAACAACTTCGGCGAGCTCAGCTCCCACAACCCTGAGGTTTTTAACAAAGAGCAGCTCGCAGAAGGCAAGGGGTTGAAGAAGACCTGGCAGTTCGATCAACTTTTCACCCGCAAGTTGGTGGGATTTGATTCGGCTTTCGAATACTACCGGGAAGCCTCTCCTGCTCGCAATCTTCCTAAGATCAGAACTCCCACCTTAGCCCTCAACTCGACTGACGACCCTTGTGTCAGTGTCAGGCTCCCAGTGTTGGAAGCCAAGGCCAACCCCTACGTGTCACTTGTGGAGACCGACTTGGGAGGTCATTTAGCATGGGCCCAGAGCGGAGGCCGTTTCTGGGGTGCTGAGATGGTCCAGAAGTATTTCGAGGGTTTTGAAAACACCTTTGCTTAGGGGCAGTTTAGGCTAGAAATAGATGGATAGTGAATGAGCCTAGAGGATAGATTAGAAATAGATGGATAGAACCATTCATTGGATAGTTTAGAAACAGTAAAAATATACAACTAGTGGATAGTTTAGAAACGTAGATAGAGCCATCTTTGTAATCACACCTCATCTACAAACCTTAATATACCCATCTAGTAGATAGACCTATTATAGTTGTACCAAGTGTAGTTATCCCATCGCTCTATAATGAATAGGCCCTTTATGTGGAAACAAAGACCCATATTCTGCGATTGTACCACCTGCAGCACCAAATCAACTAAGTTATACCTTCTGAAAGATATACCATCTTGTAATTATTCCATCCATTCTAATTTTCACACTTACTTAGTTACACTATTACTGCAGTTACACCTCCTAGTAGAAGTATTGATATAAGGCAAATTCAAGCAATGGAAGGTCAGGAATTCCATCTGGTAAAACTTACCTTGAACCACTCAGTAGAGCACATTAGCCCCTCCATCTCCAATTGCTCACCACTGGCCAGCAACACCCTGTTAATCGTACTCTGCCAATGGGTGCAAAATACATCTACGCGAGATTCTCACCGGAAGAAGGCTTTGAGCGCGTTTCGAGCCCTCGAAAAAGTCTCTGGGCGGGTTCAAGCTGCCGCCTCGAGGAGCTCCTACCCATGTGGGTCCTGCATCCCGTCACCGTTGCTGTGGTGCCATCAGGGTCCTTCCCCGACCTGGCCCCTCCCCTCGAGAACCTGTCAAAGTGGGGCCCCAAGATGCCAGTGCATCTGGCAATGCATGTGGCGCGTTAGTTCTCGACCTCGAATGAACTGCGCCGCGCCTCGATCTATTATGACCCCCTCTGTCACCGCCTCATCCCCGGAGAAACTTGACAGTTGCGGCACATATACCAATGCGGAACTTGTAGGGGTGACGTCTGGTCCGCACACGCCGCCGGCTCCGGGGCCGGGATGATCTCCTGGTATACTACCAGCTGACAACCGTTGCTTCTGATCCTTCACCAGTCTTGTTTCGTCAACGACACTGCCAATTGCTTTTACTGCTCTGCCACTGTCGATTTGCGCAGTCAATTGTCGGTCTTTTCTGCCTACATTGTCTCGCAACATTTCCCTACACCAACGCTAGCGCCAACAGTTCCAGGTCCTAGTTGTTCAAGCTACTCCCACAGAACCAACAACAACGCCTTGACGTCCAGTCCAGCTAGACCTGTTGGTGATCATTCCTCCGTTTTAGTTTGGTTGAACTCCATTTCGGCTGCAATACACCCGCATCCAACCCCCTGCCCATCTCCAGCGTGCCATCATCATGTTCAAACACCACAATATCTCGCTAGCCCTCTTTGATATCAAACTCAAGTCGCCACATCGAGACTTGCTCTTGCTCCGTGGAAACGAGTTCGAGCTTGAATCGGTTCCTTTCGAAGGTAACGTCAAGCTCTCGATCCCAGAAGACTTCCATGTCAAACGCATCCGCTTGAGCTTGCTAGGTGAGTACAACGTGGAGTACTTCAGCCGTCTGAGCTCTGGTGGCGTCAGCGACCAAGTGTTCGACCGTTTGTGTGTGTTGAGAGTGGACTGGAACAACCTCTTGACCTCACCTGACGGCAGCATCGTTTTTGGATGCTACGGTGACAACTTCATGAATTACCACAAGATGGAGCAAATGAAGAAAACCAAGTCCAGGAACAACTCTGAGCTCCATCTTGATGATATGGGTGGCTCAACGCCTCCGGAGCATGCTGGTGAAAGACCAGCATTTCTTCGTACAAACTCACAGCCTCATATGGGACTGAAGCATCAGCACCAGCCTTCCAAGATATTGATCCCTCAGGATGGAATTGACGGCACACCTTTCGAAAATGTTCATACATCGAGCCATCACTCGTTCCTTTTGCCCAAGGGGAACTACAATCTTCCTTTCAAGGTCTTTCTCCCAGCAAATATCTCAGAAACGGTGGAGGGGTTACCCTCGGCCTCTTTGCACTACAAACTACATTGCACTATTGAGAGGGGTAGGTTCGAAAAGCCTTTTGTTACTAGTAAGCTTATTAGAATTGCTAGAACGTTACATCCTTCAAATTTGAACTTGACGGACAGTATTGATATTAATAACACATGGCCGGGTAAGGTTCAGTACAATGTCAGCATCCCTAAGAAAGGTGTGCCTATTGGTTCAACATTGCCCATAAAAATTCTAGTTGTACCTATCGCCAAGGGACTCACGCTAAAGGGCGCTAATGCTTCGATTGTGCAACATTTCCATGTTTTGCATTCTGAGGGTAAATCTCCTGAATGGGAGATCTTGTCAGGCAAACAAACCTTACAAACACCAGATCCTGAAAGTTTACCTGTGGATCAGTGGCTAATTAAATCCCACTTTAAAGTACCCAATAATCTCAAACATATCAATCAAACATGTGATTTGAAGAATAACATTATCCAAGTAAAGCATCGTTTGAGAATTACGCTCCAGTTGAAGAACCAAGCAGGGCACGTCAGTGAGCTCAGGGCAAACGTTCCTATTCATGTTTACATTAGTGCTAATGCTGGACATGTTATTGGTAAGCATTATACTCTTGAACCTAAAACGGGCTATGTGGTTCAGGATCGAAACTCTGAGAATATTTTATTCAAAAAAGACCGTAAAGAGAGTCACTCGTTGACAACTAGTTTGAATGCATCTACAGATTCGCTCAATGGTGAGGAAGAGAACGACTTAGACAGACAGGTTGATGCCCCACCTCTTTACCAACAGCATGTCTATGACAAAATCTACGATCTCAATTCACCACAAAGTCCCATGGAACAGCTTCGAATTCAAAGTGCAGGTAATTCACCTATCAATTCACTTCCTGGATCCATGATGAACCTTGATAGCTATTTTGATTTCCCCACACGAAATGGTATCGAGTCTATTACCAAAATAGAGAGCCAGGACAGTCATCTCAAGAGTACGAACATTGATGTTTCTGCCCTCTGTAAGGTGCCCTCATACTTCGATGCGGTGGACGATGATGACGAGCCTGCGAATCAGGATATTCCAGCTCCAATTTATGATGATGGAACATCCTTAAAAGGAATTTCGCAATCTATCTCATCACTTGATCTCTCAAAAAAGAGACCAGTCGCAAGAAGAGGTTTCTCCAACGGATATCTATTCAACCGTTCTGTTCTGGCCAATTCCTCTGCACGTACATCGGAAGTGGATTTAGCAGCTTTGGGTGCTGCACATTCAGTGGCATCGAGCACTGAATCTACTCACAAACATCTACACTTGAACCTCAAGTTGAAACACAAGAAAAAATAATCAGACCAACCTGATCCATTAATCTAACATTCGCTACTTATGATCACCAACATACTTTAGATACTTACTTAGCTTGCATTTTATATACCAATCGAATTGGACTCCTATCACGTGTTCGTGTCGCGTGTCGCATCTATTATACAGACGTGTTGTTATGTTAACTCTATGACGGGACTTCAAGCAAAACCACACCATGAATGGCTCAAAGAGAGGTCATGATCCCTTTGAGCTTTATGAGCTTCAGGCTCGGGCTAACATTAAACGAATGAAGTTGGAAAAGCGCTTAAATTCGAAACAATCTCAACCACCCATTAAAGAAACCCAACCGAATGACTTCAAGCAAGTACGGAAACCTTTGCAGGAGATTCCAAATAGCTTGACAAATATAGTACGAAACACTAAAGAAAGAGATGCTTCTGGTCCAAAGACGAATATTAGCATGAAGAATCTCATCAAGAATTTACATCTGCAACAGTCACTCGGTTCACAGCAAACAAGTAGAACCCCCATTTCCAAAGTGATCTCGATGACTGATTCCAAGGGTTTCATAAGAACTCAGCGCAATGGACTCAATAATAGATTTTCGGACATAAGCAAGTCCATATTGAATACGCTCCCAACAAAGGGAAATGAACCCACCATGATGAATACCGCCTTCGTCAAAGCCTTCATTGAATGGTTCAAAATCAACCGTTATGACTATAATATTACAAATCCGGAGACTGAAAATATCAGGAATAGGCTCATAAATGACAGCCCTCAGAGAACAACATCTGAACAGAGAACGCCTGTGGTCACAAATCAATTCAAAAAAATTGATGAAGTATCGAACCCAACACATATTGTTGTTGAGTCTAGAATGATTGGTAAGTTCTTGTATTGTGCAAAATTACGGTGTACTAGGACGGGAACCGGAAGTACAGCCATATTGCCGAGAACTGATACCCGATTTGAAGTTCATAAAGATGATTTGTTGGTGCTCCCTGACAGACCGAGTAACAATCAGAACATTCTTGGGGTCGTACTTCCCGTTTTTTATCAGTGGAAAATACTTCATGGGAAACCAATGGATGTGAACTTTTTTGCATAAGGATCTATGGCATTTACGAATTTACGATTTGGACTCATAGTAGGAATATGAGATATCTGTTAAGGGCTTGTAATAAAGTGATAAGAGCAATATTAAATTTCAAAATTCTGGGCCTCTTCTATAAGCGAGACTTTAAATTGGGAATGACTGTCAGAAAAGGTCCACAAAGTTCTGCTGGGCAGCTTGATCAGTTCGTGGGTCTTGACCAACCTACCTACTTCATTGGAATTTACTTGGCCCAATGTCTTGAATAGAGGTAGAAAATCTAATATCTCAAGCAAGGGGCAAAGTTTTGGGGTATTCTGCATAGGAAACCCATGTTTCAGTCATTGAGAAAGTTGGTTTGATCTGAGGAGCTAATTACTGCAGTTCCTACGTGAATTTCGAAATTATGATTAATACTAAAAAAAATGTAAGATACCGTCAGAGACGGATAATTAAAAGATAAATGCAATTAATGATTCTGTGAGCAAGTTCGAATGAATTAACCAAAGCATCGCCCCCCCCTCCACAAGCTGAATGTTTTCACGGGAATTTAACTTGTCCTTGCACTGTCGTTTTCACTTCGACCCGACTGTATTAGCAACAATTATAACCAAAAATTATATCCGACCAATTTAACCAACCAATTTAAGAAACCATATCAAATACTTGAAGAGTCTTTTTCATGTCTTGTTTTAAACTCCTTAAGTAAACCAAAGTCAACTCATTGTCTAGACAAAAGCCATGAGACAATACCGAATGCTGTCCACAAGCCAAGATTTTGAAACCGAGGTAACGAAGTTTTTGAAATCAAACAATCCACCATAAGAACTAGCAACTGAAGAACTACTACCAACATTATACCAAATTGGATTCCATTGTTCGTTGCAAACCTAGACTCGAGTCCCCCAACTCTTGCCTTGGAACATGCCTCGAAGTATTTGATCCAGTCTAACTTAGGTTCTAGATTCGGTATACTTTGGTGAGTAGTATCAAGTTGATGTGCATCAATGGATTGCTGGTCCTCTAAAAGTAAGTAAACATCGTTGGACTTATCCTCGAAACTTGCTGATGTTTCGCTAGACTTTAAGCTTCTGAAGGAAAGTTTGGCAGGTGATATGGACCCATTCGAGAAGTGGTCTAATTGTTGGAGAATGTCTCACACCAATACCAAGATCCTGAAACTGGGGTGGACTCACCTGTTCATCAACAGATAAGGAAAAACCATCAGTGAAAGCATCAAGATGATTTTTGGCGATAGAAACTATATCTTGAATATCAAGATATAAGTCTGATTTGGTCGAGAAAACTTTTAGATCAAGTGGTGTTGTACCTTCATCAACTACCTCGGGGTTCTCTGCCAAGTTGGTAGAATTATGGGAAAGTCGGACGTCAACCTCGTCAGGGATGTCTGTACTCTCAACCAACATCTCTCTCTTGGGAGTACCCTCCAAACCATCAATATCAGAGGTGTAATCAATTGCACACAAAGATCCAGATTTCCGGGAGGTTCCAGGTGTAAAATTCATTCTAGAATCCAGAAGGATGAGGAAATAGAACAAGCAGAGCTTGAGCATAAAACTATTCTCAATGCTCCATACAAGAAGAGCAACAAGAATAGTAAGCATAATATCCCGAAGGAAATCAAGGCTTGGGTGGTTTACCTTTCCACGGGAATTTAAGTTCATGGGAAATTCAAGGAGGTTTTCATCAGAGTTTTCAGCCACCTGCTCGCTGTCAAGTTCGGTTCCAGTGTTATCAACTTTGCTAGAAGAGTTATTCTTCCCAAAAGCGTCTAATTCAATGACTTCGTGTGGAGCATTGTTGTCATATTCGTTTGTGATTGCACAACCTTCTAAGTGAACTGTTACATTTGTACCATCTCCTCCATAATTGTCAGTCGCTGCAATAGCTTCCAACTCCAATGGTGGTAATGAGCAGACATTGCTCTGGTTGGTACCCTTCCCGCTGTCTGGAATATTGGTGATATCTTGTGCCTCATCGCTGTTTGTGTAACTTCCACTGGCTGCTAATTGCAAAAGGATTTCTGCAGTTTCAAGAACTTCATTACTAAGAATGTTTACCTCAGCTTCCATTTGCATGTTGCTTTGAGCGGAATCTGCATATTCATCAATTTGATGAGTCGTATCAATGTCCAGTAATTGCATAAGAGTTTGAGGAGGTTCAACGCTAGAATTGGTAGGTGGCATCCAAATGCGTTCCAAAGGAGTGATAACTTCAACAACTTCAACAACTTCAACAACTTCAACTTCTTCAATGCAATGACTAGTGAGCATACCAATACCTAGTAATTTCTTAAGGATTTGGGTAGCTTCAATATTAACACAAGGATCGGTTGCGTTCCAGTTAGCTTCAGATTCCAAGTGCGTGGAGTCTGCAGCTTCTTCAGCAGCAACACTGGGAGAGTCGAACTCTTCGAACATCTCTAAGTGCAAAGACAATTTGACTTCTTCAGCATCAATGTCAGGCGTGTCGACCTCTTCGACTTCTTCAATGGTCTCTAAGCGCAAGACGAATTTTCCTTTTGCATCATCAACTTCAGGTGTGTCGACTTCTTCGACATCTTCGATGGTCTCTACGTCCAAGAAGAATTTTAATTCTTCAGCATCAACTTCAGGTGCGTAGGCATCGACAGTCTCTAAGTGTAAGATGCCTGTATCTTCTTCAGCAACGTTAGGAGTGACTACCTCAATGGTGTCGCAGTGCGTAGTGTCTGCATGAGTGTCGAGCTCAACAGTTTCTAAGTGCGCAATGTCTGCATCAACTTCATCGTTTGTTTGGTGTCCCTTTTTATCCTCCATGTGTTCAATAAAATAGGAGGATTTGGCCTTTTTGGCCTTTCCGGACTTCTTTTTGTTCTTTCTGGCCCTGCTCTTGGAAAATTTAGGTACTCTGATGATTAAACAATCATTAGGATTAATCATGCGAGCAAAAGCAATAGACTTGATTACACCAACATCAACAGTTGTTTCCTCCGAAACTTCAGCAGCCACAATTGGCTCAATCATACCAGCATCAACTCCAATAGGCTTTGTTGGCATTTCCATACCAAGATCAACCTTAGTTTCAGTTTTCTTGGAGCGTTTCTTCACAGTGTAGCACTGCTTCTTGNGCAACTTGGAAGCTTCGCTCTTCGTTGGAGAGCTTTTCTTTTCAAACAATGCTTCAGCCCAAGTGGGTGCATTTGCACCAGGGTTTTTGCTCTGGTGAGGAGCCTTCTCTTCATAAGAGGAAATGGTCATGTTGAGACGACCACAAACACCATTNACCCATTCCTTGTTGGAAGGAGGGACAGCCATGTTCTTCCCAGCCAACTTATTGGAGGGAAGAGCAGGAAACTTGTCATCTTGGTGGGATGGCACTCCAGTTACCTTGGCTTCAACACTAGACCCACAAAGTGGATCAGCGGAGCCGGTCACAGAAGGCGATTCCAAAAGCTGAGGAGACCCTGAGGTCTTCGCCACATTGCTAGGCAACGATGGTTCACAGCAGGGACTAGGAGTATCTCTATTCATAGACATTGCAACGTTTTCTTTGCTGGTCGTAGGAAGAAAGATGTGGGTAAAAGGGCAGAACGATTTTTGTTTTACGTAGTAAGTATATAGTACACAGACACAGGAGCGCGCCCTCCAGATCCTCAGCTCGTTTGCAGCTAACCAGCAGTTTTCATTTCTTTTCTGGTAGATTATTTTTCCTTCGATTGATCTCATGAGATCTCTGATTATACCCTTGATATGGGTGCAAAAAATGCGTGGTCGCAAAATCGGTTGTGTCAAATTGCAACTTTGTGTCCAGATCATAAGCGCACTGAATCTCATTCCAGGCATTTGGACGAAAAGAGTCCTAAATACATGAAGTATATGACCTATCGAATTGCAGGTTCTTGTAATATGCTATGCAATTTGCACGAATGTAAGGTTCCTTGCATAGTCTAATACGAAAATTGAAACTTCTGCAGCATTGACAGCCCACCAATGGGATGAACCCGTTTAAAACAGTCATTTATTTGGCAAAGCCCCGAGAGCTGTCGGGTACAGCAATATACATTAATACAGATATTATTTGGATCATTTTTCAAACATTACTCTCCACCTAATGTGAATTCTCCATATTCTTAACTTGATCACCAGCATATAGTTCATGGCTGCAGTAATTGAGGGAGGTACCAGTTCTATTGTCACATTTGCTCTATGTGGTAGAAGTGGTGGTGAAATTAGTGTTGGTGGCATTTAAGACTATCCGAAATATGCACTTGGAATCAATATCTTGTGAAAACTAGGTTCGCCCACCCAGTGCCTGGCTATCAAAAAAGGGATAATCAATCTGATGGAACTGATTGGTGCAGTCAATATAACTTATTGGGGTATAGGTATACTCATACTTGTTATGACGTGGTTGATGAAAACTTCCTCCATAGTATTAATATCAAAACTTAAAAACACAAACTAACTTGCGAATTAAGCAATATAAATGATAAATAAAACCATAGTGATACCTACCCATCTATTACGAAATAAAATCCCGAACGCAGAAGATACTATCAAAGATAATTTGTGTGTGACTATTCTAAGAGAACAGACAAAGCCTTGGATCCCTGTAATGACAAATATCTAAATCTAGTTTCAACACCATGAAAAAGAATGACAAATACTGATTATTTTTTCGAATGCTTTGAGTTGTTCGTAACTTTGGTAGATTTTTTCGTTTCTACAGCAATAATATTTTTTTAAAAGTGAGAAAATTGTAAAATCTGTTTACAAACAGCTAATTTAACTGATTGGATATATATTGTGGCTATAAATTGGGCTAAAAACTACAGAAATATGACTCAAAAGAATAATGTATGTTGATTCAAAGTTCACTCTATGTTTAATAAATGGAGGGTTGGCCGAGTGGTCTAAGGCGGCAGACTTAAGATCTGCTGGACAGTGTCCGCGCGAGTTCGAACCTCGCATCCTTCATTATTTTTTTGGATTTCTTTTATATCCTTATATTGATATATTGGAATAATTACCATGATAAATGAAGCCGAAAACTGAGCCTCTTGTAAATCGGGTACTTAATATACTGTTCTAGATAGAGCTCTACAATAGCCGACTATCTAAGAAAGATTTTACTGGTTTAAAAAAAGCACAGCAGCATGTGTAAAACTCATGATACAGCTAATGGTATAATTGTCGATGATATGCATGACATACCGAATGCAATGTAATGCCCATTGCTTCGTTTTTTGTTCATTGAATTGGTGCAACCATACTATTAGGCTTTCTTGTTACTAATCGGAAGTATATTATAATGTACTCTCTAGATGGATATAGACCTACTGCAATGGAAAACAAAGCAACATGGGCAAATTGTTCTGGATGAATGTTTGGCAACTGGGTGCGCTACACAAGAGATTGTTCTGGAGCAATTCATATTAATTGATACTTTAAATTAATCGAGGTGGCTGGACTAGAAGGAAGGTCATTGTTTGATGATCGGAACGCATACATCCAAATTCTTCATTTAGCAATAAAATTAAACAATTTTCTTTTCATTAGGAAATTTATTTCACAACTGTGGGTGTTCACAATTATTATTGTACTCGGAAGCATATTATCGTTTACTCCCTACTCCCAAGATTGCCCAATATTCCGAGATTAATTGTTCTTTTAAATGGCAGGAAAAAAGATTTTCCACTTTCTAGATGACACTTTAAATATCAAGTCAATAGCAGGTGCTTGCCAGTTGAAACGAAAACTGGGGGCTTCAAGATCACGTGTATTGTTGCACGTGTGAATTGATTCAAACAAATATTAGTAATACAGAGATTTTTGTTCTCAACAAGATGCCTGCGTAGCGTAATGGTTAACGCGTTTGACTTCTAATCAAAAGATTCCGGGTTCGACTCCCGGCGTGGGTTCTTCTTGCGGTTTTAGCTCAGTTGGGAGAGCGTCAGACTGAAGAGATTCAGTCACAGTTAATCTGAAGGTCCTGTGTTCGATCCACAGAAATCGCATTTTTTTGGCCATTCGTAGAGTGCATCTTTTTGTAGTTTTTTAATATTGGTTAACATGCTCGTCTTAGTATGCCTCGCTTAATCTGATCATGCACGACCACAATAACAACACCGATCTAAGTACACCTAAATAGGCGTAGTAAGCAACCCGGCAGGCTTCTCTATTACGCCTCTAGCACATTTCCGACTGGTGTCTATGAGAATCATATCCTAGAATACTCGAGAATATCCCGTTCAAATCTCAATTTCGCAGCTTATACAGCATCCCTGTCATCCATGAATTCACTTTCTTCACTTGTCTTCCCATATGAACGGTCGGGTCACGGTGACATATCCTTGAACAAGGTGGTATTCTTGGATCATCAAGATACTAGTCGCTTGACGATCACATTGAAAGAAGGTAAAGATGTCGATAGTGTCGAATTGACAGGCCAAAACAATAAGCCCAAACCAGTGAGTTACATTGATAACCCCCAATTGAACCCACAAACCCCTTTACTAGTCCGAATTCCTTCCGCCAACACCAAATTGAAAATCAGCGTATCCATCCGTCCTACAAAAGAAAATCAACACAAATCTTTAGTGTTAGTCAAATCGTACTCGAAGAATGATGATGTCGAGAATCATCGAAGGAAATTAAAGGTAGACCAAATGGAGGCTCCAAAAATCTCAAGGAATGCAGCAGAATCCGGGAACCATCCAGAAAAACAGTTAGGAGATCTCGAGAGGGTAAGCTCGGTCGAAACTGCCATAGTCGAGGATGACTTGAATGACTTGCAGATTTCAAAAATAGAGTATGCCCTGCTACCCATCGAGCATAGCGACAATAGAATACAGAAAATTATTATTAATGATACGTTTAGACACGAGACCCCTAAAGATTCCGTGTTGAACTTATTTGTATGGGAGTACGATGACAACACAAAGGATTACCAGTTTCTATTCAAATTCAATGTATGGATAGATGAAGTGACATACAGTATTCCAACCTTTCCTAACTCTGAACTGGAGTCTGCTACAACGTCCACGTCACAAATATCTCCACCAGGTAAAGACTCACACAAGATTCCCGGTAAACCAAAGTCCAAACCTCTCAAACTTTCTGACCTCAAAAAGAGCTTTCATTTGATAATTGAGGATGGTCCTGAGTTCAGAAATAGCTTGAAAGCTTATGAAGGAAATGTGTCCCCATTCAAGAAGGTGTGCCAAAACTTGCTAGACGAACTTAGAGGTCTAGACCACACATTGAAAAGACTTCTTACTTTTAAAGCCAAGGTTGTCGAGCTTATATATTCATTGACAGATCTACTGTTCAACCCAATACTTAGATCTTTAGGATTCCCAACCCAATTTCAGAGTAAGTTGAACAAGATCATTGAACCTTTCGAGAAGAACTTGAAATTTCTTCTTCGTGATGTATTTGATCTCAAGTTGATCCAAAAATTATGCCAAATTGCAACTTCCTTTGAAGGTGCCTCAGCTTCAGCTTCCACAAACTCTGCTTCTTCTTCATCATCTTCCTCAGAATTAACTCATTTGAAGAAGAATTTTGAAGCCAACTCTAAAGAGTTTTATTCATGGTTGAATAAATATCTTTCCAATGATAAGGAAAGATCAAAAATGAAGCTATTACTGAAAAGAAAAGCATTTGAGTTATCAAAGTTTGATTACTTGAATCAACTTAATCTGATTACGAACAATCAATATTTGAATCAATTACTTGAAAAGCTCTTCAAGTTTGTGAATCTTGACTTTGATGTTAAAAAGCCCACTCTTTTGAATTTCAACGAGTATAACGATCTCAAGTTGAGTCAGAACTTATTAACTGAACAATATGAAATATATTTGAATGTTTTGTTAAGATTCAATAGCGAAAAATATCAGTTGAGACAAATGATTGAAGCAAGTCAATCCAACGAAGAGTTGACCAGATCTATTCGGTATAATAGGTTAAGTTATATCAGAGCATTACATGGGCAGAAGCAGATTGGTGCAACTGATGGAACAGAATTGAGTTTGACACAAGAACCAAAAATAACAGACATAACAGACTATATGGCATACGAGTCAAATTATTCTGGTATGGAAAATAGCTCCCCATCCCTTGATTTTGAAATTGACGAAAATACAGAAATTACGAAGGAAAACCTCGACATGATATTCTCTTCTGGATCTGACAAACCAAATGATACCAAGACCATCTCACAATCAGACCTAGATCAGGGTTCTGATATTTCTGGAATTCTCTATACTTTGGGAGGCCAAGGGAAGCAAGGTTGGCATAAAGAATGGGTAGTATTAGACAAGGGAAGGTTGATTGAATACTCAGATTGGAGAAAGGGGACTTCGCCAATTAACAAGCCCATTGAAGTCGCTCTATCTAACGTTAAGGCTTTAAATTATGAGAGAAGACAGAACTGTTTTGAGATTATGACTTCTTCGGGCCATAAGCACGTTTTCCAAGCTATCAACGAAGATGAAAGAGATAAGTGGATGAAGGCACTTTATAATGCAGGTCAGGTGGTGAATACCTCCAGAATTGAAACTTATTCTGGGAAAGAAACGAAGCCTGTAAAAGAACACACAGGTAAAAGTGGTTCGGTGAGAGTGAGTCTTAGACGTAATGGAAAGCACAATTTGAAAGTTGTAACAGATTTCAAACCACCAATATTGAACCAGCATGGAGATAGGTCAGTGTCTCCAATTTCAATTTCGTCGCAATCACCTTTTGAAAAGCAAGATACTTACTACAACTTGGTAAGAGCAATTCCCAACAGTGCTAATCACTTATGTGTGGATTGTGGATCGCTTGAATCTGTCGAATGGATTTCCATAAACTACTTTGTCTGTTTCTGTGTGAAGTGTGCATCGTGCCACAGAAACTTGGGTTCACATATATCAAAGATCAGGTCTTTGAAGCTTGATAAATTTGACAATGAAGTGAGGTTTTTATTGAAGTACGTTAATAACGCCCAGGCCAATAGTTATTTGGAAGGAGCATTTACAAACCAAGGCAACGTTGCGACTCCAACAGGAACTCCATTGACCACTCCAACTACTACCCCCACATCACCATTCACTGGAAAGACAAACAAGCCAGATTCTTCGACCCCCTACGAGCAGAGACTAGAGTTCATTCGTGAAAAGTACATATCAAAGGCATTCATCAGCAAAATACCCGAGATCAACACTGTGTTACTCAAGGCTGTTCAGAAAATCAACATTCAAGAGGTTTTGCGTACCATTGCTTGTGGCGCAGACGTAAACCTTCATTTACAGATTCCTGCTAATAGCAAGCATGAGAGCCAACTTATATCGGTGCTCGAATACTCGTTACGAAAATTTGTCGAGATCCACGAGGGTTCGTCTACATTGGTCCCACGGAAGTTGTTTGTTATCAGCGAGCTACTTATTTTGAACGGGTGCAAGACAGACAACCTCTTGTTGAATAAGGAGTTCTTGACACCAGAGGCATTGGAGTACTGGAAGCATAGAAGAATCAGTTTGGGAGCTGATGATCCTGGGGTTTAGCGTTAGTTTTGCACGGTGGCTGAGTTAACGGTAATGATTATATTGAATTAATGAACAAGATCTCTGAATAGATTGGGATGTAGCATCAGATCACGGTGGAGTGCCGAGGCTCGCTCGGATTGAAATAATGGTTATTATAAGTAAGACGGTATTGTCCTGACCCCTGGAACCATTCATCAACTCTCTAGATTTCGAGTTAGATTGCTTAACTGAATTCACTGTGAGCCTGGTTTGGGAATTGGAGACTGACTAACAGGTTCGACCCATCTTGGAAATGGGTATGTGTACTAAATAGAGGAGCCAGTTACTCCTATAAAATACCCTTTATATACCTCTCCCAGACCATCATCAAGAACAAGAATTACATCTTGAAGTTGGCATAGCATACACCGGGAGATAGCCGCAATCACGACCATTAGCTGCAACCCTTTAGGAAGTTCTACGACATCCTGTAGAAGTCAAGACCCATTATCGCTAATTTGATGTTCTCGGTGCACGTTCGGATTCGCACCCATTTGTGGCTGCGAATATCTTTATCTTCATCCACAAACATGTACCAGTTCCACGAATGCATCGGCAGGGGCAATTTCGGCGATGTGTACAAGGCCAGCCGGGGTGGCCAGTATGTGGCCGTCAAGGTGGTCAACCTCGACGAGAGCACCGAGGATATCAAGGTGATTGTCCAGGAAATCCACCTTTTGTCGCGACTCTCCAGTCCCTACATCACCAAGTACTATGAGACCTTTGTCCGCGACGTCAACTTGTTCATCGTCATGGAGTACTGTGGCGGACGCTCCATCTCCGACATGCTCAGGCACTTCAAGAAGATCCCCGAGGATATCGCCAGCTACATCGCCCGCGCGGTGTTGCGCGGGTTAGTGTACTTGCACCAAGAGGGTAAGGTTCACCGCGACATCAAACTGGCCAACATCTTGTTGACGGAGGCAGCCGAGGTCAAGTTGGCGGACTTTGGCGTCAGTGGCGAGTTGACTCGTACTCGTGCCAAAAGGAACACGTTTGTGGGTACTCCCTACTGGATGGCGCCCGAGGTGATCACCAGGAGAAAGGCGGGGGGAGGCTACGACGAGAAGGCAGATGTTTGGTCCGCAGGCATCACTGTGTACGAGATGGTCACGGGAGCACCTCCATTGGCCCAACACGATCCCATGAAGATCTTGTTTGAGATTCCTCGCAACCGTCCGCCTCTGTTGGAGGGGGACTATGGAGCCAACACCAAGGACTTCGTACGCTACTGCTTAGTCAAGGATCCGGCCCAGCGTCCCGCGGCTGCTACCCTCTTGCATCATCAGTTTGTGGGGGTGTCGCGGCACGCCCAGGCCAAGTTGGCTCGCATGATTAGTGAGCTCGCGGTGCGGGTGGTACGGCCCAGGCACCGGTTGACGGTAGAGGTGGCACTGGGACCCGCCATGCCTGCGTGGGACTTTCGCACCGTTAGCGAGCGGCCCCTGCCAGATCCCCTTGTGGGTGTCCCCAGACATGTTCTCTTCTATTGTCTCCACCAAGTGCACCAGCGCAGCCGGACGGCGGCCACCAAGCACACGGTGGAGCAGTTGATGGGGTATCTTGCGCAGTGCGAGACTGACCAGCCGGGGCTCTGCGACGCGTTGGTGGAGGAGCTCCACCACGTCAAGCCAGAGTGAGTGTCGGGCCATGGATCAACAGCCACTAAGATGAAATCAACCGGAATAATTCAAGATAATTCCGAAGCTGGAACAGAGCACCCATTATTTCATCGTGCCAGCAGTAATTCAAGACACCCATCGCCTCGAGCAAGTCTCTTCACTCCTACACTCTGTCATCCCTACTCCGTCCATGGTACTTGTTCAGCAGTTACTTCTCTAGCACCCTGCGTGTATAGCTCTCATACCCGTCCGCTAAAGTCCGCCCATCGCGTCCGTAGCCGTCCTGCCCGCTCATCGCGTCCGTAGCCGTCTGCCCCTCGTTGCTTGCTCGTAGGGGCCAGGCACTCTCTGGAACTCACTATTGTTCCTGGCTGCAACCAGACCAGGCCGCGACGCGAGTCGCATCCTCGAACTGTTCACCCGCGTGCGGTAATGTAGCGAAGGAATGTGCCAGCAATCTTGATTGGGGTCTCCGTAGTATGGGACCATCCTCTGGCAGAAGCTCCCAGTCCCGCGTAGCTGCCAGAGCTGCCAGCATTTCCACCGCTACAAGTAGTCCCTCCACCACCTCCCTTCCGCTGTTGTGCCTGTCCCCTCCTGCCTGCTGGCTGGCCCGCCCGCGCTTATCCGCAACGATCACTCCACGTGAACAATAAAGCGCGTCTGTTTGTTTCAGGAGTCATAAAAGTTTGCGTGTCGGGCGGCTACTATTTCAATTACAACAAATCCTGATCTCTACTATCATCTATGAGAGCCTACCATGTCTCTGTCCAACCATCTACAAGTACCGGGAACCGGGACTAGCGGCGCCAATGGGACGGCCACCCCCCACACTCCTCGAGGCCAACGAACCACCAAATCAATGACTCCAACCTTCCTGTTCGGCCTCAGTTTCCTGCCCTCGTTCCATTTCCAGTCCCCCATCAACTCGACCTCCCCCCACAAGTTCTTCCACTCCTGGAAACGCAAGCAGGAGGCGTTTCCCGCCCTCCTGACTCCCCCTAACTCCTCGCGAGTGGGCACTGGTGGCTCCACCCGCTTTTTGGACTCGTTGAAGAAGGACGACGACGACTTGTGGTCCTCGCTAGGCGACTCCAACTTGACGTCTCTCTCCTCCATCTACGAAGAGGGCAAGGAATTCTTGACCCCCAAGAGACTCCACAAGCCTGTTGACCACAGCTCCCAGGAGACAAATCCCGACGAGGACTCCCAGCAAGGCAAGCAAGACCCCACCGACAGCAAACTGCAGGAACAGGAAGTCACTCCAGAAAACCACCCCGACTCCGTGGAGCCTGACACCAGTAGCGCCTCTGGGGCCCTTGAATCAGCGCCAAACCTCATTCCCATCAAACCCAAAATGGACCTCGACGCCAAGTCCAAGCTCGACTTGTCCATATCCAAGTCCATAAAACGCCGGAAATTGTCTTCAGCATCGGTGTTGGACTCTCCTAACAACTCCATTGCATCACAAATCGATTCCACCATCGATTCCCCAGTTCCCAAAAGGAAACAGAATAAACCAATCCACCCACCGGTATCCGCTTCAACTCCTGCGTCTGATATGGGTGAAAAGGTTTGGTATCCAGAACTTGATGATATTTTGATCAAATGTTTTTTGAAGTATCGTAATTTTAGAAACAACCATGCTGGCTATAGTAGTACTTCTATTCTAAAAAATACTTCTCAAAACAAGGTTCTTTCCAGAATGTTGTTTAACAAAACAGGAATATTGAGAACTTCGAAACAGATCTCTTCAAGATTGTTTCGTTTGGCTAAGTCAAAGAAATTGGACAAAACAACTAAAAGTCAAAAACAATCATCTACTCCCTCAAACAATAAATCTTCCATTAACGATAATCTTGATGATATTGATGAACTAATCAAAACTCCATTCGAGCATCTTATTAACAGCTCAAGTTATACTTCAACTACCGGTGCTGGTCCTCATGGATTGGATTCAATAAAGACCAACGAAATAATCGACCATGAACTAGACCTTCTCTTGTCATCGCCAAAAAATAACAATGGCATGAATCTAGCTTTCAAATTGTCTCCCAAAGCTTTTAATATTGGTTACAATAAGCCTTCTGATCCTAATCTGAACCACATATTTACGAAGATGGCGTCTGTTTATGAATCATCTTTATCAGGATCAAACTCATTGAACAAACAAGAATTAATTTCCCCTTCCATGATAGAAAAGTTAAAGTCAGAGAATATTCCGGTGTGGCTTCTAAACCACAATCTTCATATGAATGTATCATCTAGTACACTTGCGTCAACAACGCCAATTTCTCCATTCAATACAAAGATAGACAGAAGTCTTGATTACATCAATGGTCATTTGGAATCATTCTTGAAATTTGATGCCAAAATATTAAATAAATCTGAAGATCAAGAGCACCCTTCAATGCTTGATTGGAAATGTTTGATTAAAATTTACGATGAGACGAATCATAATTCCCTCTTTGTGGAACATGTGGACTTGGTCAATGGTTACTATTCTTTTGACAATGATTCTTATGAAGTTCAAGTGCCCTTCATGAAGCAGTTCTTTGCAGGATACTTCAACTATTTACTCAACGGGACTAGCTATGCTGGCAAGAAGTTGTCAATTGTCCAAATTATTTACGACAATTATTCCCAAGACTTCGAAGGAGGTAATAAGTTTGACGAGCAAAAATCCCAGATATTTGGGTACTTCATCCATGATTTCGATTTTGACATTGGAAGTGGTCAAACTTCAGTCAATGTTGTGAATTTAGTGAATAATTCCGAGCATGAAACTTTTGAAAATGCTCAGAATAGAGTTGAAGATGACAAGGAAGACGATAACGAAACAGTCCTTGCTGATTCCTCCCCTTACAAAATTTCTCCAAATCAAACTAGAATGTCTCATGACTCACCTCTTAAGCCTAGTAGCCAGTTGAGAATTGATACTAATAAGGCCAATGCTAATGATTTCAATGTGCTTCGGGGCCCATTGACAGCACCAATATATAATGCTGACATTGTCCAAAAGTTCAATCAAAATATGTTAAAGCAACAAGAAAGTTTAAGAGGACAATATGAGCAGTCTCCTAACGAGGAAAATAGAGCTAGCTTACAACCCCCTATGAATCATTCACATTCAACAGGTAACATTCATCAGTTCAGGACTTTAAACATATCCCCACCTTCTTCATCACCAGCTACAGATTCTCCTGTTATCAGGGCCAAGTCTATTCCCAATCAGAACTATCCTAACATGGTCTCCTCTACACCATTGCGTGATAACATTGTTCCAAACGGATCCATGAACTATGGTCAACCCACACCATTTATTCCTCCAGCACAGCAACAGTTGATGGTCAATCTTGGCAATGGGTTTATACCTTTCAACTCTTTACACCCCAAGTTGCAAGAGCAATATATGCTGGTTCAAAGACAATTTGAGATGCAGAAGCAAGAACAACAAAAGATGTTCACTCATCAATTTGATCCAAATGCAAACATCTTGCCACAAACGTTCAATGACCAAGGTTTTATGACAAACACCATGAATGCGCAGTTTATGCCCAATCAACAATTTGCCCCTGCCATTATGCCATTTGCTCCAGCACCATCAATTGAAGCCCAGGTTGCACCAACAGCTTCTTTCAAGGATAACAAAGAGAACATTAAACCCAAGGAAATCAAATTTGGACCCATTTTGGAGTATGATCCTTCCAAAGACTCCAGAAAGATTCCACAACCTAAAGTTTCCAAGCAAAATGCTGGTATTCACAGGTTTCCCATTAATACCCCAGTGAGCATGTACAATCCCAAGAAGAAATAGCCAGGTGGGCCCTTCAGGAGGTAATATGCGGTACAGCTGAGGTCATGTATTATTCACTTCGTTTTAATTTCACTTCTCACTACACTACTTATTTGCATTACTTTCTATTACATTTCTTCTGTTAACTTAGTCAACATTGTATGTTTATCTATTTAATGTAGGAGCATCCTTAACTTAGTGAGGTTTCGCATTCACGGTTGATTCCTCACCTGGAACTTTCGGAACTAAATAGATGTCGGTCCAAGTCGCGGAAGCAAGAATATACAGTACCCACCACCTTACTCCACGAAGTATTCACCAGCATTACACCTGAAATCCGTACCCGGAACAGACATTCAACTCTCTTGCAATTGAGCTCTGTATAGGAATTGTATCAATTCCTTAGAATAGCTCTCGAACTGTTGAAGGGCGTGTTACCGAATAGCCGAAAGCAACCGGTTGGAATAGACTACGATGAGCACAAGCAACGTTGCAGACGAAGGCAACCCGTCCAATAACTTATCCAACGATGTATCTGTACCATTGGAGGTAAATGGTCCAATAAGAATAGAGCCTTCCCCACAAACCTATCTCAATGATCCACTTACCCATAGCAATGTTCCCAAGAAAGAGACTACCCCCCGAGAGAGGATTAGTCTTGATGACCCTGTGCCTACTTCGAGCAGTACTGGGATGAACTCTGATTCAGACGCATTTACCACGTATGATCCCAAGAAGGCAAACCCGCAGTATAAACAATTCAAATTGATTTCCGTGAACTTCAAAGAAGCTGCATTGGATTCTCCAAGTTTCAGAGCTGGTATCAATCATTTGGACAATCAGATCAGCAAAATCGAACGGTGGCTCCTTGCATTGGTATCCTCAGTCAAGAAGATCCCGAAATATGCTAAGGAATTGCAAACCTATTGCAATTCCTTTTTGGAACATTTGGTCCCATCTTTTTTGCAAGATGGTCTAATTGACCAGGAGTATACCATGCAATCTCTACAAACCACCTTGCAGGGACTCAAGGCTTTGTGGAGCATCAATTTGTCAGCGTTGAATGTGAATTCGTACATTATTGATAACCTTAATTTGATAGTATCGAAGAACGTGAGTCAATACAAAGAGATCAGAAAGAATTTTGATGTGTACCAAGAAAAGCATGACAGATATCTCGAGTTGTACCTCGCGACTCCAAAGACCAAGGACGCTGCAAGCATAATGGAGGATGCAAAGGAGTTTTTTCAAGTCAGAAAAGACTATATCCATGCATCGTTGGATTTGGTTGTTGAAGTCGCTACTTTAGGGAACCTTTTGGATAAAGTATTGGTTGGTTTGAGTTCCGACTTATGGAAGAATAAAAGATCAGCCTTTACATCTGGTTCAAATGCATCCTTCATCAAGGAGTCCTGGCTTAAAATCAACAGGATACGAGGATGGTGTGACTCCTATTCTCTTGCGATCGAGAAGCTTGGTGGCGACATGGTTCTTGCTCGTAACCAAGTCGAAGAGTCTTCCACTCATCAGTTCCAGCCATCATCTGATCCTAATCAGTATAAGTCTTCCTTAATTAATCAAAAAATGTTGGACAGCATAGACGAAAGAGGAGTGGAAAAGCATGGCTATTTATTTATGAAGACTTGGACGGAACGTTCATCCAAGCCAATATGGGTCAGAAGATGGGCATTCATCAAAGGGGGAGTATTTGGTTTACTAGTGTTATCTCCTTCAAAGACTTTCGTGCAAGAAACCGATAAAATAGGTATTTTGTTGTGTAATGTCAGGTACACCCCCAATGAGGATAGAAGATTTTGTTTTGAATTGAAGACAAGTGACTTAACAGTCGTTTTCCAAGCCGAGACATTAATTGAGTTGAAATCTTGGTTAAAGGTTTTTCAAAATGAAAGAAACCAAATTCTTCAATCTGCCCGGGAAAATAGTGACAGTGACCTTTTCAACATTGCCTCTGGACGCTATCCCCCTATCGTCACTGAATTCTCTTCCACATTGCAGACAACGATGGACAGAGAACTAACAAGTAGCAGAATAGCACATCATTCCACCGGCCAGATTATTACACCAAGTAATTTGGCCAAGCACATCGAAAAGAATGACAAATTGTTTTCTAAGTATGTCTACTCGCAAATTCTTCAGATCAAGCCTCCATTTATCACAGATACCACAAAATCGTCAATTTTGTCCTACAGTCTTGTCAAACCCACTCATGTTCCAACTGCTTTGACTGCTAATATGTGGGGTTCCGTTAATTGGGGTATTTATTACTTGCATAGTGCAATTCAAGACGAAAAAGCAATGGAACCCTATCTTATCCAAGAAGATACAGAGTTGATCCAGCAACAACAACAAAGACGTGACGGAGGATTGTTCTATCCAAATTACTATCCTAAGGAATTAATCCCTTTGGATATTCAAATGAGAGCCTTGTTTGAAACTGTTATTCAACCTGGTGAATATTGTCTTATATCTTACAGGTGTATTTGGTCCGCAAACTCCAAACAAGAGTTGAGTGGAAGGTGTTTTATCACATTGAATCACGCATACTTCTACATGCAAGCATTAGGATTTGTGACCTTGTTCAAGGGATATGTTGGAAACATGATTTCGGTTGAATACAAACTGCAGAAGCAATTTGACTTGGTCAAAATGTATACCATCGCTGGAGTTATCAAAATGAAACTATTTCTAGATGATGGAAAGGCTATGAAGTTGAAGGTTAATTATTTGATTGACAATAAAGTTAGTGATAAACCAAAGTTGACTCGCGAGATTCTACAAGCTTTCAATAAGATCGACGAACAACTAGAGAAGGAGAAAATTCAGCAAGAACAATACGACTCAAATGAAGTTCCAGCTCCGATTAGAGCACCGGGAATAATTGTCTCGAGACCTGAATCTTTAGAAAGATCGAAAACAGAACCAGGTAATGTAAACCTGGTGAGTAGAAATGGATCTCCTTCTCTTGATTCTAGAGGATCTGAGGTTTCAAAGTCAGATGCGTTGAAACCAAACTCATTCTCACGGACTAATCTTTCCAAGGACTTCTCAAATGTACAGGTAGAAGAAAAAGACTTATCCTCCCAATTGACGGGTGCACCTAACTTGACGGGGATTTTGAAATCTAGTTCGTTAGTTAAAGCATCTTCGAAGACTACCAGCTATAGAACTGATTTCACCAAAGACTACAGGCTTATCAAAGAAAGGAGATACGCTGTACCTCCTAAAGCTATTTTTCATGCCCTTTTAGGAGATAACTCAACCATTCTCAATGAACAGTTATCATTTGGGAGGGTTGAGAGTATTATTAAAAAACCATGGATATCTACTCCAGAAGGAGTTTTGAAAAGAACTTTCAATACCATTGCTGCCTACAACAAGAAGCGGTGGGTCGTTCAGATCAGCCAAGCTATTGATGAGCTTCATGATGATGAGTATTATGTTTTCTCCCACACCAGGTCCAACTTCAAGTTTTTGATAGGATCAGTATTCAACGTGGAATACAAGTTTGTCATGTTGAGAACGGCAGGGGACCAGACAAGGTTGTACTCCTATGTTAGAAGAAACTACTTTGGAACTCTGATTTTTAATCCATTCGTAGATTGGATCAGTCAGACTGTTGCTGCCAACCGTGATTTCCATTTCAATGATCTATTGAAATCTTCATTTAGAGAGCTTGGTACACACGGTACTGTGGTCAAATCCATTTACATATATGGTAAGTTGAGTCACACAGATGATAGTGAAGAAGAAAAGGATGAAGAACAAATCGCAAAAAATCCTCCAATTATGAGAGTTAGTTTCTTCTACGTTATTAAGGTCTTTACTAAACGGGTTATGTTCAGAATTATCAATTTTTTGCTTCAATTGATCCAGATTATTATTAACGCTGGAGTATTATTGTTTAGAAGTTTGAGAATGCAAACCGTTTTGCTACTAATAATATTTGTGTCTGCCGTATTTAACTTGTTTTTGATGGGTAAAACCACACAATCATATTGGAGTGTCAGAAGAGCAAATAACATTGCATATGAGCTCTTGACCAATGATCCTTTGATGTTACAGAGAGCTATTTATTTGAAAGACACAGAAGAACTCTTAGAGCGTGGAAAACATGATTTCTATACTAGGATTAAAGAAGTAACTCCTAATCTGAATCATCTGAATCAATTACAGAACTCAAAGTCGTGTTTCGAAACATTCAAGAATAACTCCTTTGTTATCAACTATAAGGACAGTACAGATTGGGATAATGTTTATGGAGACGATGAGACTAGGAATGTTGCAAAGGACCTTAAGAAGGCGCACCAAGATGTTGGAATCAGAAGACACAAATTGATGGTGGAACTAGAAATTCTAAGCCTGATTGAAGAGCTGATCGCAAAGGCTGAATGGAGAAACTGGTTAATGAGCGAAGTTCAAAGATGTGACTACGTCGAGTCCACAATTGTTAGCAGACTAGTCTATCCTAATGAGGAAGGTGAAGTTGAAAGTTTAGGAGACGGTATTGATTCGTTACTTGATTATTGTCAAAACTGTAAGGAAGAGTTCAACAATATTGATTTGATCTGACATATAGACACTAACCTATTCCTGTCTAGTACTCTAATATTATTTTAAAAGTTTTGGCCTAAGTATGTAGTTATATTTACGTATTTTAATTAATTGTCCAAAGCGTTCTAGTTGCTCATTTCATCTTCTTTCTCTGTAATCAACTCCTCGTTTCTTGAAATTAAGAATCTACAATCCTTTCTTTGCGAGGGTATCGGCTATGTGCAAATACAAAGCCAACGCATTAAATTTTGGCTCTTCATTGAACACCAACTTATCAATTGCTGTTCTGGTTTTATTAGTCCAGTTGATAAGATCTAAGTGATCAACCTCGTCAAGTGTGCCCAAATATTTTCCCCATTGTGAGCTCTCCACACTGACCATTCCATCATTGGCTAGTCTTAAAGGTGACTTGTCTATTTTCTTTCCTGATGCGTTATGCAAACTTTTGGCTTCCCTTTTAGAAATCTGGCGTCTCATGATTCTCCAGGTCAAATTAAACACATTGAACCATTTTGGATTGAATTTTGCACCGTATGAAAAATACTGAACGTCCGGATTGTCCGGTACTTTTGCATTGAACTCCTCCATGTTTGTGGTGGTCAACTCATACACTGATTGGGGACACAATTTCTTGAGATACGAGTTTTTAGCAACAAGCCCAACTAGAAAGTCGGCACATTCCGAACCATGATGGGGCGTTGAAATTGTAGTGAGTGACACCACTTTGTAGTTTTTATTGTCTTGAAATCTCGATATCAAGTATCTACTATCCAAGCCGCCCATGGAGTGACTGATGAGATTGACCTTGATAGGCTTGTGGGTCAGTTTGAATGTCTCGTCTTCGTGCGAGTGATTCTTGTGGCTGCTGGGGTTGTTTTCGGAATGGTACATGGTGGATTTGGACTCCTTCTTCCTCAATTCCTGACACTCCCTGTCGATAAACTTGTCGAGCATCTTGGCTCTTTCCTCGATTGTTCCAAAGGGAGGAACTCTTCCGATAAGCACTGTGCTTCCGAGGGTCTCCAACGATTCGCGAATACCGCACCAGTAGTCTAGCTGAAATATCCTGGTGATGGCCCTTTTGGCCTTGTGTTTTGGAAGCCAGTTGGTAGGTATGCTTATGGTGTCGAACCCCGAGAACCCATGGCACAACACAATAGGATAGTGTGGTGTGTCGTAATGGTCTTTGAGCCTCAGATAGTCGAGTTGCTCCAGGCCACTCTTCTTGTGGGGTACGTTTTGTTGCTGTTCCTTCTGGAGGTCAATCACGCGGGACTTGTGCCTTACAAGACTGGACCATGGCTGTGTACGTATTCCAACAGATAATGGCCGAGGCCGTACTAGATACATGGGAGTTTATTGAAACTATCTACAGTTGCGCATTCCAGACATATGCATGTGCGGACCTGTGCACAGGATGCATCGAGTTCTGGAAGGGAATAGCATGGACGATTTAGCATATCGGGAAGAGCAACATCATTATCTGGACAAATAGAGTCGCTGTCTGGACGGCTCACTATCTGGACGAAGCATCAGTTGTGGACACTTCAACCTATTCTGCCACTCACAATACTATCTGGAAGACTCGGTCTAATCTGCCACTCACCCACACTATCTGGACGACTTTGCCCACTCTGGACTTGGCTGTTCTCTATCTGGCCATAGACTTGACCATCAAGTCCTTGACCACGTCGAGCATGTTGAGCGACTTCATGCCGATGCCTCTGAGCAACACCAACGGATAAAAGTCGGTGGAGAAGATCTTGTGGAGCTTGTCACACACTCCCAAAAGCATGCTGTTGGCAGGCCAGGTGTTGGACACGTAGCTCTCAAGTACAAGCGTGGATCCAATATCCATGCCTCTCTCTACACCCTTTTCCAAGGCCTCCACCAAGCCTGCAACGTCCGACTGGCCCATGTTCAATCCTTGACCTGCCAATGGATGGATGGTATGCGCAGCATCTCCAATCAAAGCGACTCTGGGAGCCACGTAGGTGTCGGCATGGGACATTTTTAATGGAAAGCGTGCTCTGGACTTGTCAATAACTTCAGACACTGGCAAGGGGTACTTTTCCTCCAATTCAGACAACTTGATCTTCGACATTCTCCATTCAATCTCCTCCAATACCGAGGTGTCGGTGGGGTCCTTCTTCAACACTCCGTAGATGTAGTTTAGGTCGACCTCGTCCAAAGTCATGGCAGCGTTTACCAAATGCACAAAGATTTCAGGGGTCACCTTCAACAAGATATCCGACAATTCGGGGGTGCTGGACCACACGATGGTCGCATTGTCTTCTGTCAATGGTAAGATGGCCAAGGGTCCAGTGGTCAAGAACCTCTGCCATCCAATGGAACGATAATCCTCGTACTGCAACTTGATGGTTGCTACCACTCCGAAACGGCCGTATTGCCAGCCTCTGGACTCGATACCCGAGAACTTACGGACAGGCGAGTTGTAGCCGTCAGCACCCACCAACAATCTGGTTTGTATGCTTTCACCGTTGGAAAGTTGGACGATAGGCCAGTCCAAGCCTGGAGAGGTGGTCTGTGGCTCTGCGGTCAAGTCGTGATTTATTTCAGGCTTGTTGGGATGCACGATGTCCAAGACCTTGGTGTTGTCCAAAATGGTAGAGTCGCCAATTTCGTCAATTCTGCTTAACAACAGGCTCTGAATATTGATATTCTCACACATCACCGCCAAAACACCGTTTCCATCCGTCATGCTGGCATCAAACTGGATTCTGGCGTCCTTTTCTTGCGAGTCGTATGCCACAATTGAGCTGTAGAATTTGATCCTGTCCTGGTTGATGTACTGCCAGCTTCCGATTCTCTCTTGCATGAATTCCACAGATTGTGGTGTCAATGAAACCACTCTGTTGGTGTAATTTTCTGGGGGGTCCTCCCCAAAAGTCCGGATATTATCCAAGCTACCTCCTTCGACTAATGTGCACTTCAAATGGCGTGTTTTATGTGAGCTCTTGAGGGCTGCCAACAAGGACAAGCCTGCTGGGCCTCCTCCGACAATAACCACGTCTTGCAACCTTGATACCTGGGCTGAAGCGGCAGCCGTTGCTAACCTCCTGACTGCTCCAAACATGACTAGTGGTTTATAGAATGAATCTTACGATTTTTAGCTGCGATGGTCGTGCACTGCGAATGTGGGGGACTACATTCAAAGAATAGGATGGTGGTTTCAGCAACTAAGCGAGAAGTGTTGGTGAAATCGTACTATAGGTACGTTTCTATATTGGTCCTCCTTCTTTCCAAAATTTTAAGTTATTATTGGAAGCTGGAGATAGTTTAGGTTAATACCTTACACAATAAATTCAATATTAATATTCTTCTTTTGCTATCCGTTGACGGAAAAGCCCAATTCCAAAGCTGGTGGGCTCGGCTACAGTCAGCCTGTTTCTGGATCATATGCTATTTCACTAAACTCTACAAAACTGGCCTAACTCTTGGGGATGTTTTCCAACTTAACCTTGCCACTTTCAATCCAGTATGGGTCGATTAATTTGTCCTTTTCTTCGTACATTACCTTGTATGAGGTTTTGATGGTACCGTCACTGACACCAGTCTTGTCAGAAATCTTGGAAGGAGCCAACTCTGCCCCGAAAATCAACGCTGCCATGTAAATGACGGTGGCAGCAATGGTGGTAGGAGACCTACCAGCCAAAACACCCACCTCCTTACACCGACGCGCAATGTATTCGGCACCATTTGTGACCTGGGTACCAAGTCCCAAATGGGAACAGAAACGACGGATCAAATCCTCGGCTGACGTTTGCGTGGTCTGGATATTGTCCTGGTTGAACATGTCCGCATTAGGGTCGGTGGCGTTCTTATCCTGCATCACCTGTCTGATAATCTTGAATACCTTCCCAATTTCCTTACGTGGAACATTGGTCAATGCCCAAATTTCCTTGAAGGATCTGGCCACCTTTGCTTTACGGCAGCCGATGAAAATGGCAGCGGCCATGATGGACTCTTGCGATTTTCCTCTCAACGGACGTTCGTCGTAAACCATCTTGTATACCTCTTTAGCACTATCCTGAACGATCTTGGGGAGTTGGTACCCATCACACATTTGCGAGATCTTAGCATAAGCCGCGGCCAACGCGTTGTCCTTCTTGTCTACGATGGACTTAGACTGGGCTCTGTTTAACTCCTTCCCTGCACGTCCATTATCTGGAGCGTACGAGATCATGGTGGACAAATCTTCTGTGTCCAACAACGGGTTTCCAGCATCACCCACACGGCTGGGATCGTCACCGTTTTGGTCGTCGTTACTGAAGGTTCTCCACTCGGAACGGGTGTCGACAACACGATCGCTGAGCACCAACCCACAGCTTCCGCATACGATGTCACCTTCACTAAACCGCTCAATCAAATCTGGTGGATAAATCTTGCACTCTGGACATGTCAACGTGACGTTCAAGTTTGGCCCCTGGAAAGCCTCGTCGGCCGTGGCGACCATACCTGAGGTGGGAGACATGTTGGTAGTGTTCACAAGGACTTCTTTTGAGATGTTCAGGTTCGAGTTTACCCCCTACTTTACCGATGACTAATTCGTGATAGACTCGTTGCAACAAGTCTTAGAAGTGAGTCTGATAGCGATCAACAGTCAAGTGATGCGTACGGCGTTCGATGTGATGGCGTCTAGAGGTTGTCCAGTCCAAGGTCCAGTACAAGCAACTAGTTCAGCTGAGGAAGGAGTTCGAGTTTGTCATTCATTTTTTGATGTGAGGGGTCGTGCGCGCGCCAGGTGGCGGGTCGTGTGCATACCTGCGAGCTGACGGTGGACTTCTACTAGAGTGTGGAAGTGTAACTACCCCCAATAGTGGTCACCACCAGGAGGTGGCGGTCATTAATCCCGCTTGCCTATTTCTTCAGCGACTACGCTGAAAGTTGGTGCATGACAGGACTTCTCTGCACCAAACAGTGCAGACATTATGCAGCAGCACCGTTGCGACGCAGTGACAGAAGTGCCAGTGTCTCGTGGTATAAACCACGATTGAGAGCCCCCATTACTTATTATGGTACTGTAGTGTGGACAAGGAGCTCGGTGTAGTGACCAGCCGCGTGTGGGTCCCGATCGGGTCCCGTTTGGGCATCCCGATTGGGCCGAAAATCAGGTGGTATGACTGTCTGACAGCTCACGCCCTTTGTTCTTTGCTGTTTTGGTACATGTGACTAGGTGGTAGGTTGCTATTATTTACGAGCACCAGAAGCTTATTAGAGTGGGATTCGCTGCGCGGGTTGTGCATCCATACCCACAACCTGCAATATGAGTGTCGCCACTTTGACCACCAACACCGTGCCATTGGAGGACCTTACCGGCCTTGATGCACCCTCGTTGATCACAGAAGCCAAGTACATCCTCGAGTTGATCGAGCCCAACTGGAAAGCCGGCAAAAAGTACAAGTACACCACAGATGCCAATCTTCCCATCTCAGTGCCTACTTTCAGCAACAGTCGCTTGAACGACGACACCTGGTACGCCAGAGTGTACGACTTCACCGAGTTTGGCGATCCGTTGAAGGAGCGCTACCACCAGGCATTGCTCCAGTACATCATCGGATCGCTTACGGACTTCAAGCGCAGTCACACTGAGTACGAGAAGCACTACGTCAAGGAACTCTACGACTACGAGTTGACACCCTTCCAATTGGCAGGTGCCGACCCCCAGTCATTCACGTACTTGGCACAGTGCTACTACAAGTTCCCGTTCCCATTGAAAAAGAGGGTGTTCTATGAATTGGTCCACATCTATAAACCTTCGGACAACGAGGCCTACGTGATCTCGTTGGCCGTGCACCCCAAGAACTTCGAGCGTCCAGGCATGGACTCCGACTTCACCCAGGGCAGATACACCTCCATCGAAAAGGTGACGTACGAGCCAGAATCCAAGGAGTTGAAGTGGACCATGGCCACCTGCTCGCAGCCAGGCGGAAAGGTGCCCCACTGGTTCACCCACGCCAACCTCGGAAGTGCCATCTCCAAGGACGTGCCTCACTTCATCAACTGGGTCGATACTTTGAAGACCAACGAGGCGTTGCAGATCAGAAGCTCGGAAAGACACGAGCCTGTTGCGACCACCACCTCCAGTCCCATCGCATCTCCTGCTACCCAGACCCAGCCAGTGGCAGGATCTGCTCCTGTTCCCGCAGGCTCAGTCTAGGTCTCGCCACTGTGACTAAAGCTTTCAAGCCAGTACTTCACGTCCACCCCCAAATTGTCAAGAAATCCCAATTGCGCGTAGTCATACGCTCCATCGGTAATTTTGTGGAAAACACTAGAGCCAGTTCCATTCTCGGCCACCACGCTGGCCTTTCTAATATTAGTAGCTGCTATCGATGCTCGCTTTGCGCTTTTTGAGTGTCGATTGTGATTCTTTATAATAATAATGTACTTTCCCTTGTGCTTGATGTAGTAAAACATCCAGTCGGTGGTCTTGTTGCTGGTGAATTTGTGAAAGTATTCATTCATTTCGTTGGAGTTAAAGAAGTCCTTGTTCTGGGACATCAAAAAGACCGACGATAATTGTTCATGAAGAAAAAACATGGCTCCTTGATATTTGACAATCGCCCTATCCGTGAGTGATAGTTTCAACGTTGGAATTGTGATGTTGGGTAGGTATGGCAATGATGTCTGAATAGATCCTTCCTGTCCGTCATACACCACAAAAAAAAATTCGCTATCGATCTCATTAGCGGGACTCTTCAAAATCCCATTGAGAGACTTGAGAGAACCCAAACTGTTCCCAATGATGCTCCCACCAGTTATTAAATTGGAAATCTCCTCGATTGCAGGAGACAAGAGCTCTTTGGATAAATTTTCAAAGAACTCTACGTTGTCCAATTGTGCGTTTGAACTTTCGTAAATCAAGGTAATCAATATATCCAGCTTGGTGAAAATTACTAGCAGATACTCTCGTTGCTCTTCTCTCAAATCCCCATTCCTGTCACGAATTTCAGTAGGTAAGTAAACCAACTTTCGGTGAATGACAGAGGTACCTCCATTTATGTCCTGCTTCGCCCCTGTCAAAAATTCTCCATAGTCTTCCTCCTCATAGTCTTCATCCTCTGTACCTCCCTGACTGACCGCGGGATTATCATGCTGTAATTGATTTTCTACAGCTGGTGTTTCTGCCAGACCACCAAGGCGAAGGCTCTTAAGCAATGGTGGCATGCTCAACCAGGTTGACTCAGTCTGGGCTTCGACCGGTTCTTGATTCTCTTCATCGCCTGCGATGTGATCACCAACTCCCCTTATAGTAGTTGTAACTTGTTCTCCAATGTTGATCATACTGTTCACAGTATAATTCAAGGGCAGAACCACTAAGTTGTTGGTCAAAGTGACTGGGTTCAATAATTCCAATGCTGATACAGTAACCAGTTTGAGAGATGAAGGATCACCCTCCTCGCTCAGAGGAGCTTCCGTGTCCAAGTCCACCTCTGGCTGAGCTAGCTGGGATTCAAATATCAGCGACGAGCTGATCTTTGTAAGATTCTCTGTATCGAGTTTTGCATGGTAATCATAATATTCTAGCCAGTTGTGAATGTCAATTAAGCTGTCTCTGCTAATGGTGCCACTGCCGCCATCATGCACATTATTCATGTGGATCATCCCATACTTTTTGGGAGTGGTTTTATTGAAATACGAAATAATCAAACCCTGGGGTCTATGCAGTTGCGGTGAAGCCTTAAAAATCAAATCGATCTCATCCTTAGTGGTCTGGCTCAAGGAAATGGACGACCTTTTATAGGTCCTTTTGAACAGATCGTGGGAAGGGAAAGGTAGCAATCCCAAGAATCCCTTGTAGTTGAGCATATGCGTCCAAGTGAACCCCGGTGGGATTTTATACAGTTGAGAATTGAAACTCTCGAGGAAACCTGTCCAGTACTCGAAGAGGGTGCTTTGTAATACTTCCAATCCGTAAGTTTCAATGATCGAGCTGCAGCGTAAGTGGAACATCACAAAGTACTGATGCGCTGTTTCGATCAATTTGATAAGCTGTTGATTGACGAGGCCACTCGTGTTCGAAATTGAGCACGCGAGATAGAAATCGGGTTCAAGGTTGTGCAAGATGATCGAAGACTTGGATGACTTGATAATGTTCGTTCTTGCTCGTGACTTGGTGAAGTTTCTGGCAAACGAATCCACTCCACGAATGAGGCCTATCAACTTTAGTTGTTCGATTCGAGAGTCCTGGTCCTCGATATTGTCCTTCCCGTTAGTGAAACATAACACCTGTTTGAGGAACTCTTCGCTGGACTCTTCTTTCTCGCCAACCAAGCTGGGGTTGAACACACTAATGTACTTCAACTGTGGAGTAGTTCCTGACGACTCGTCAATATGCAATGGCTTTAGTTTGTCCTTATCATTACCGAAGTGAGGAACAAACTGGGAAAAGTAATTGCTCATATCGAGAATGAGCCGACTGAATGGACTCTCTCTTGTGCTTGTTGGTGCTTTTTTGGTCTTGTGTTAGGAACGAATTGTTAGAGTGTGCGAAATGAAATCCTGCGAGTGTGCAGCTGCAATATGATTAGGGCCCTAAGAACAAATAGACTATCAAAGCTTGGCCCTTGGTTGTTTAGTCGTGACTATTGATAGCTCTACGCTTATTGGCATATTTAAAGTGAGTAGAAGGATTTCTATTTTTTTATTGGATAATTTTCGAAAATTATTATTCTAGTCTACTGTTGCACAACATCAAATAGAAGTCTTTAGTTTGTCACTTGAGAAAAGGTTATCTACCCAATAAACGTGGAGAACAACTACAGAGCCAGCTGGAACGTTCAATTCCCAAAACGGGTAGAGTTAATGCAGTTTGAAAGAATTGTAGGGAAGTATTATAACTACCACTATTGGAGTTTGAGCAGGGTATTTTCTATTAAAATGAAAATGGATGTATTAGGGTTGGCTGGCTGTGCTTCTTCGCTAAAATTTCTTGTACCACTGTTGAGGAGTTTTGAGGATCTACTAACAATTAAGTATGAGGTTGATGGTTATTAATACAAACCTATTTTGGTGGAAAGTGAACTTCTAATTTAAACTGTTTGCATGAACTTCTTGTGGGATAAGTTCATTACTGGCAGACCTAAGGTGGAATTTTTCCAAAGTTTGGTCAAAATCGATTGCAGTTGTGAAGTTCATAATTCTATATTTTGTCTGATGTGGAAAGAAATACTTCGATAAAATATTCACGAACTATTTACCTTTTACCAAGATAATTGATTTATATTAATAGAGTAAATTACTGCTAAAGCACTTTAATCTGTAAGTGAATTTTGCAAGTCGGTCCACTACAAAAAGTACTATAGGCTCGAGAACATAATTGAGTGTAGTTTCTTTAAAATTACAGATTTTTCTTAAAAAGAAGTAAATCGTATTGCACCGAATTTATCCTCATTGGAATAGAGAACATACCTGGAAGATTGGGTTTTATGGATGCAGATGGCCCTCACACAAGACTACCATTTTGATAACGCTCAAATTGAGCAAGTTTTTAAAATTATATCTATTTTATGTAGATGGTAAGATTGGAAAGATCTATAAAGCAAGCAGCTAGTCCAAGAATGAAACCAGACGTTTCAGGTAACCCAAGAATTATGGATTCAGCTTCGAGTCACATGATCAATTTCAGTAACTACTTACACCAGATATACAACCCATGCTTGAAGCTTCTTTAAAGTAAGGCAACTTGTCCGAGTGGTTAAGGAGAAAGATTAGAAATCTTTTGGGCTTTGCCCGCGCAGGTTCGAATCCTGCAGTTGTCGTCATTTTTTTGGTTAGGCTGGATAGTTTTGGTCACGTGATGATATTACTATCTAAGTATGTTTGATTGGCCCGCTTTCCCCGCCGATTCAGGCGCGAGCGGCCCCGGATGAAAAATGCCGGCGCACGACATTTTTGATAAAAAGTATGAATCATAGTTGAGATTTCATCTAACATCTATTCTGGTTGAATACTTTACAACATGAGTTATCTCAGTAAACGTTCAGCAGCAGCAGCATCTGCTGCTACCATTTCAGCCAAAAGATTGGCCCAGAACATTTCTCCAGCTAGGAATTTCACCCAGTCTGCCTCTTTGGCAGAGAAGAAGTTGAACAAGTATTCAGCTATTATCACCCAGTCCCCATCTCAAGGTGCCTCGCAAGCCATGCTTTACGCCACTGGCTTCAAGGAGGAGGACATGGACAAGGCCCAGATCGGTGTTGGTTCCGTGTGGTGGTCTGGTAACCCATGCAACATGCACTTGATGGACTTGAACGACCAATGTACCGAGTCCGTCAACCGTGCTGGTTTGAAGGCCATGCAGTTCAACTCGATTGGTGTCTCGGACGGTATCACCAACGGTACGGACGGTATGAGATACTCGTTGCAATCCAGAGAAATCATTGCTGACTCGTTCGAGACCATGGTTTTGGCCCAGCAATACGACGGTAACATTGCCATCCCATCCTGTGACAAGAACATGCCTGGTGTCTTGATGGCCATGGGAAGACACAACAGACCATCCATCATGGTCTATGGTGGTACCATCTTGCCTGGGTCTCCTACCTGTGGAGGTGGTAACCCAGCCGTGCCTGAAAAGATCGATATCATCTCTGCCTTCCAATCCTACGGCCAGTACTTGTCCAAGTCCATTTCTGAGGACGAAAGAAAGGATATTGTCAAGCATGCTTGCCCTGGTCCAGGTGCTTGTGGTGGTATGTACACTGCTAACACCATGGCCTCTGCTGCTGAAGTGCTTGGTATGAGTTTGCCATACTCATCGTCTGCTCCTGCTGTTTCCAAGGAGAAGGCTGAAGAGTGTGCCAACGTTGGTGAGGCCCTCAAGAACTTGTTGATTATGGACTTGAAGCCAAGAGACATCATGACCAAGACTGCTTTTGAGAATGCCATCACTTACATCATTGCTACTGGTGGTTCCACCAATGCAGTTTTGCATCTTATTGCTATTGCTTCTTCTGTTGGTATTGACTTGAGTGTCGATGACTTCCAAAGAATTTCTGACTCCACTCCATTGTTGGCTGACTTCAGACCATCTGGTAAGTACGTTATGGCCGATTTGCAAGAATTCGGTGGTACCCCAGCCGTTATGAAGTATTTGTTGGCCGAGGGATTGATCAACGGTGATCAATTGACCGTTACTGGTAAGACTATCAAGGAGAACTTGTCCAAATTGAAGGCTTTGCCAGAAAAGCAAGACATTGTCATGACTGTCGACAAGCCTTTGAAGCCAAGTGGTCACTTGCAAATCTTGAAGGGTACTTTGGCCCCAGGCTCTGCTGTTGGAAAGATCACTGGTAAGGAAGGTACCTACTTCAAGGGTGCTGCCAGAGTTTTCGATGACGAAGGTGCCTTCATTGTCGCTTTAGAAAACGGTGAAATCAAGAAGGGTGAAAAGACTGTTTGTGTGATCAGATACGAAGGTCCAAAGGGTGGTCCAGGTATGCCAGAAATGTTGAAGCCATCGTCTGCTTTGATGGGCTACGGTCTTGGTAAGGATGTTGCGCTTTTGACCGATGGTAGATTCTCGGGTGGATCTCACGGTTTCTTGATTGGTCACATTGTTCCTGAAGCTGCCGTTGGTGGACCAATTGCCTTGGTTGAAGACGGCGATGTTATTGTTATTGATGCTGAAAATAACAAGATCGACTTGTTGGTCGACGAGGAGGTTTTGGCTGACAGAAAAACCAGATGGAAAGCACCAGCTCCAAAGTACACTAGAGGTACTTTGTCCAAGTATGGTAAGTTGGTTAGTGACGCTTCCTTGGGTTGTGTCACTGACTTGCCATAATGGATGAACATATGAAAAGGAAATTGAATTCCTAATACTATTAATTTTGTCGATCGAAAGACACCATTATTCAATTCTATTACCTTATCATTTTTATAATAGCATACTGTATATATACTACATATCCTAAAGAAAGGATCCCAGTCATACACTTTTAAATCTGTAGACAGTTTTGGTGGGTCCAGTCACATATCAGAGGTAGTCCAGCCATGCTTTACATGAGTGCTTTCTGAAGGTAGTTTAGCACATGCTCCTGATCTTGAGTAAGCGTTGGATACTTGAAGTGTTCGACCGTGCAGAAGAAGGGAATTTCCAACTCCTTGAAAGTGAATATTGTTTTGGCACTCAAGTGCTTGCATGTGGCTATAATTCTGCTATTGAGATTGATGATCTCCGCTTCATGCTCCCTTTTTAGTGCATCCAAAGACCCTTGATTGCTCATCTTGAGCTTCTGAAGTTTTGAAGGATGAAAGCCTTCCGTGGCTTTGGCCACACCTTTCGAGATAGCATTCACCTTTTGCTGATGCTGATCGTCCATCTGTTCACGTTCCTTCTTCCATTGTCGCTGCTGAACTAGCTGCTGGTCTATGAGCTGCTTTATTTTGTTCACCTTGGCACTTTCTTTGAGAATCCGATGTCGTATGTATAGTTCGGCGTGGTAGCGATTGGTGATGAATTTGACCTCAGGCCCTCGGTACTGAGAGACTAAAGGACTAGACTTTGCACCGGTATGAGATGCTACTGCACTTTTGCTTCCAAGCTGTTCATTCAAGTACTCGTAGACTTTACTGGTATAGTGATTTCTTCTTTTGATAAGCTGTGCTAACTGAGGGTCGCTCTTCTTGTCTTTGATGATGCGGTGCAACCGAGGCTCGTTGAGTCTGGTCAATGCCGGATATAACGAGCTGGGACGTTCTAGTCGTTTCTTGAGAAGATAGAGTGTTGCTTGTTCGACTTCATTCAGATCAGCCATGATAAGATATGGAGTCCATTACCAGATTGTGGCATCTCAGATTTCGCATGCTGAGAATATAGAAATAGCGAATTACGAGCACGAAGTCACTTGAAAGAAATAATTGATGGAGTGTATAAAAATACGCCTGTGTTCGTTTCATGAAGTATTATTCTCGTGAAATGTCTTAGCATCGAATTTGCTTGCTGAAATGCAAAAATACGTAAACAGTTCTGGAGACGAGTTTCTTCTATCACTCCCAACCATGCATCGCCTAACTGATACATCACATAACTCCGTTGGGTAGTTCCTTTATGACGCACCCCGGATACGTCACTCCTCCATGTTTGAATGGTGTTTTGACGGGTTTGAGTTGTGACTTCACTTCCTTTTCACTGTGGCTAGAATAATTGCACATCCTACTTGAGAATGCTTCTTAGAGCCAGATTAACTCAATATTACTTACAGTCTGTCCACGTAACTCTAGAAGTGATGGTATTAGGGGTATGCTATTTAGTTCTAACTGTGTAGTCATCACCACTCTGGGTGATGTAACGCACCCAAGGGTACGATTGATACTGTAATTTTGGTTCGTTAATTCTCAAATATCTGACTTGGATTCCACTGGTGGTGAAATATGGAATTGAAAAGTTCACCTTAATTGGCTTTTTATTGGATGACAAAATTTCCTCGGGGTCTGTCACAGCAGGAAGTCCCAATTCGGCTCTCATATGGAATTGCTTACCACCTGGGAATGTTTTGAGCTTCCAAACGATATGGGACTTTTCAGGAATCCACTTAACAGTACCATATTCTGGGGTAAACTTTGGAGTATCGGCATCCTCAGGGATAGGAATGATGACTTCAACGTTATTAGCGGTCGATTTCTTTTTGATTTGAGCTTTTACCGAACAGAGAATTTCGATACGTGAGTGTTTGTGCACTTTGGTTTTGCATTGGACCAAAATGAGTGGTTTCATTAAGAACTGTGCCGCCGATAAACGATAAGACATGACTGTAAATTCACCGTCGGGAGGAATGAAGGTGATGATTCTTTCGTTTTCGAACTTTGATAACCTGACACACTGATGAAACTTGATGTCTTCCATTTCGATTCCCTTGTTATTAGTCTGTCCTGCGCTACTGGACCCTGCCTCTTCGTCTGCATTTGGTGAGGTGAAAATCCCTTTATCGTTTAAACCCAACCTGAGGTCTGGCATACCACTAAGATGGGACTTGACCTTGACTTCACCCAAAATCTCCGAGTTGAGCACTTGTCCGCTGGCATTGATCAACATATTAATGGACTCGACCACATCCAAGAACGCTTCGTTTTTCTTGTAATGGATGCCATCTTTTCTCCACGACACTGCGTTGGTTACGGCCTGAGGAGGCTGGACCAAGTGGTCGGCCGACTTCTTGACCAACTTATAGTAGTCCTGCGTGATGTACTCCTTCAAGATCTTGGTGTCTGTGGTCTGGGGAACTCCGAAGTCCATCATTTCATCGAGCAATTCGTAGATCACAACGAAATTGTCCCTAATGGACTCTTCCTCCAAGCTCTTGAAGTACTGGGTGAGAACCTCGATGAGCTTCGACAAGAAGATGATGATGGCCATGATGTTTTCGTTCTTTCTCGACAAAGCACATAAGTACAAGTTGTTGTGGTTGATGTAGATGTAGTTGATTCCCTGGCTGTTGATGAACGGTTTGTAGTCGCCATCTTCGTGGCTGTTCTCCAATTCGAGCAAGAGGAGGGGGAATTTGTCGATGGTGTTGGAGGGAATGTCGCCCTTGTAGTCCCTGGAGAGCAAGGGCTTTCCCTTGATGTCTAGGAAGTGGATCTGAGACGCCATTGGTGGTGGAGAGAACAACAGCAAATCGTGAAGAACACGCGAGGTGTGCGGCATGTGATCAATGGCACGTGCGGTAACACGTGCTTATGGTCACGCGGAAGAGTCTGAGGGGGCCACGTCACGCGCACCGCATCACGCGCCGCGCACCTGATGCACAGCCCGCTGGTGGGTGCAACCCCGCGTTTCTTTTTCTGCACTGCAATGCAGCATTGATGCCCAGACAATTGTGCCTCGCCAATGAGCCCTGAATTCCGCACCATGTTTACAATAACCAAGACCACACGCCGTCGTCCCACGTCCCCCGATGTCTCGGCTAGAGCCAAGATCCTGGGCCATCACCAAGACTTCTCCCACAAGACAAACGCGCTCAGCCTCCGCACCCGACTGCCCGTGAATCTCTGGGCACCCACCACCTGGTGTTCCTGTTCTAGGCACACCTTCTATTGTGCGCCAGGCGCCCCCAATTTAGCGCAATGTTTATTTTCATCGCCTGCAAATGCAATACTCACAAAATCGCAGCTATATAAGGGTTGCACGCCGCCCGCTGCACCACTTCTTCACTATTGATCCCTCTAGATCGTCCTTTCGCTGTATCTATCCCTCCAGGCCTGCACAATGAAGCTTTTCAACACCGGTGTATTCATGGCGTTAGCCGCCTGCGCTGCTGCCCTCGATCCCGTGGAAGTCAAGGGTAACGCCCTTTTCGTCAAAGGGTCCAGCGACCGTTTCTACATCCGTGGTGTCGACTACCAGCCTGGTGGCTCCTCCAAATTGACCGATCCGTTGGCCGACACCAGCATCTGCGAGCGTGACATCAAGTACTTCAAGGACTTGGGCATCAACACCGTCAGAGTTTATTCCGTGGACAACACTGCCGACCACGACGAGTGCATGCAGCAGTTGGCCGACGCAGGCATCTACGTCATTGTCGACGTCAACATCCCCAATGCGTCCATTTCGCGTGACAAGGCTAAATGCTCCTACAACACCATGTACTTGGAGCAGGTGTTGGCCACCGTCAAAATGATGGCCAAGTACGACAACACCCTCGGCTTTTTTGCCGGTAACGAGGTCATCAACGACGAGTCGTCCACCGCCGCTGCCACCTACGTCAAGGCCGTCATCCGTGACATGAAGCAGTTCATCAAGAACACCGACCTCAGAGCCATTCCTGTCGGGTACTCCGCCGCAGACGTGTCGGAAAACAGACTCGAAACCGCCCAGTTCTTCAACTGTGGTGACGATGAAATGGCAAGATCCGACTGGTTCGGCTTCAACGACTACTCGTGGTGCGGAAAGTCGTCGTACACCACGTCGGGCTACGACCAAAAGGTCAAGGCCTACTCCAACTACTCCATTCCTTTGTTCCTTTCTGAGTTCGGGTGCAACAAGGCCACCCCCAGACCGTTCTCGGAAATCGAGGCCATCTACTCGGACAAGATGTCTCCAGTTTTCTCGGGAGGTTTGGTGTACGAATACTCGGAAGAAGGGTCCAAGTACGGCTTGGTCAAGATCGACGGCGACGACGTCACCACCAACCAGGATTTCGACAACTTGAAGTCGGAATACTCCAACACCAAGAACCCCTCGGGAGACGGTGGCTACCACACCGACTTGGAGTACTCGGAATGTCCCGCAAAGAGCTCGTCTTGGAACGCCACCAGCGACCTTCCTCCAGCTCCAAAGGGCGCCTACAAGTTCATCAACGGCACTGCTGACCCCCAGGGTGGTGGTTTCAAGGCCTCGACCCAATGGGCCTGTATTGCCAAGGGCAACGACGACGACGACTCCAAGGGTGCAACCAGAAGTGGCTCCAAGAGTGGCAGTGGCTCCAGCTCGTCCACCAGTTCTGGGTCCAGATCGTCCTCTTCCTCCTCGTCCTCAAGCTCCAAGAGTTCCGACGCCGCTCCTTTGAACTTCCAATCGATCAGCTGGTTGAACACCTTGAGCCTTGCAGGTGTTGTCATTGGGTTCAGTTTAATCTGAGTTTTATTTCTTTTACTACACGGTAGTTACACTTATATAAACGGTGATTTATGTAATTTGGTTGACATCTAACTATAAATATACTTCAAATCTTGCATATTTAAGCCTTGGCACCTTTCGATACATCATTTCCCCTTTGTAGATCAACTGTCCACATTTAAGCCTTGGCACCTTGCTTGATTCCATACATCATCTCCTCTTTGTTGATCAAGTGCCCAATACTGTCAACCTCCTCCAACAACTTGTCCACATCGTAGCACCAATCGTTCAACAATTCGTTCAAGTGGACATCCGAGGTTCTTTCCTTCTTTTCCTCACCATTTTCAAACTTGACCTTTGCTTTGATTGGTGCCTTCTCGAACTTGATAATTCCTTGTGGTCTATTAATCTTGGCAAAAATCATCCCCTTATTCACCAATTCACTGACGTAGGTCTCGGCCTCGGAAGTGCTTAATTGCAATAAGTACGCCAATCTCTCTAATCTGATGCATTGGTAATATTTGTTGATGGTTCTTAAGTTGTGCTCAATGATTCTGTTTTGCAAGTTCTTGTAGTTGGTTTCCAGCTTGAAAATGGCAGATTTGTTGAAATATTCAACTTTGTATAATGATTCAATGTTAGACCAATGGATCAATTCATTGGTGGTGAACACTTCCAACAAATCATGAATCTTCAGATCAACATTCTTTGTGAAAACTGAATTTTGCTTGATCTTGTTGATCAAGTCAAATTGATGTGGATCGTGAGGAGATAAAATGATGTAGTAAATGATGGAAGTTAAGAAGTTCAAATAGTCATCGTGTGTTGATTGTAAGGACAAGCCAGATGAGGCTTCTGATTTGGTTTGAGTGGTTTCTGGTTTACTTATCAAGGGAATCTCAATCAACAACAACATGTTTTTGACAATAGAAATGTAGTCGTTTTCGTAGCTGTTAATCTCAATTAAGAACTTCAAGTAGATGGCCTTGTATTCGTCAGCTCTATCGAAATTCTTCAAAGATTTGAGCAAAATCTTTCTACTCAAAATCTTGGCCTGGTTGTAGTCGCCCTTCTTCAAGGTTAATCTAATTTGTTCCAAAATGAATTCAATTTTGTCACTGAAAGGCATCAATGAGTATGTTTCGACTTGTAAGTCACACAAGATCTCTACTGCTTTGTCCAAATCATTATGTTGGTACAAGTAGATTTCACTCAATTTCTTGGAGACAATGGCTCTTTCAACTTCGACGAAAATCTTCTTATCTGTTATAGTTCTGATAGTTTCAATGATCTTTATCTTGGTTTCCAATTCCTTCTTGTTGTCATCCTTCAAAGTATCCAAGTTTTGGATAACTGCGTTGATCAAGGTCTGGATGGCTGATTTCAATTGACCGTGCTTCTTAGACAAAAGAATGAGGAGATCATTCAAGTAATCCCAGTCATCGTTTTTGACCAAGATAGCTATAATCTTTTCCAAAATTCTCTTAGAAGATGAAACATCCGATGATTGACGTGTTTGCTTCTCGAGCACTAACAACTTGTCAATAGCAGTCTTGTGGTCAGAGATGCCATCAATGATGGGGAACTGCTCGTTCAATGTTTCGCTGAAGTCCTTTTCTGCTTTTAATGGGTCTTCTCTGGACATGTTGCGTATGGTTGGTTGGAAGTGTGTGGCCAAGCGTGAAATGGTGGCAACGAAATTGGTTGTTGGAGGTCGTGTGCAGACGCAAAATTCTTGTACTTGGACTAGTCCATTAATGGTGTGATATCTGATCAGTGATGGATCGCAGTAAACGCACCCACGTCTTCACGGAAGTTCTTGATTAAACTAAGCATTCGTGAATAAGAATCCATCATTTTTCTTTTTCTTTCTATGGCCCATGCTATGGCCGATATATGTACGTTTTGTCAGATTGGTCCTGTACCAGTCATATGCAGTTCTGTCTGATCTTGCTGAGCACCACGAAACTGTGACAAATTTGATAATGAGCTTTATATCAAATAGAGAAGCTGGTGTATGAACCTAGATCATATTTTTATGTGGTCATGTATTAATAGTCAACTCACCTACTAGTTATTTGCAAAATATTTAGATACCCAAGTAATTCTGGGATGCAAAAACCATTTTGAATTGTCGAAATGCCTTCAAATTCACGATTTTAATGACAATTGTAGGTCGTAAAAATTCGTACTTTCATATTATTTGCTAAATAAATTATGGTCAATATAAGATGTAACTATTGGTTGTATAGTGTAGTGGTTATCACTTTCGGTTTTGATCCGAACAACCCCGGTTCGAATCCGGGTACGACCTGCTTTTTTTTCCATTTTTTTACATCGAAATTGGAGAGAGTTTCGATTCCACGATAATCTAGGTTGCTAGGTACACATTATTGTCTTTTTTGTTTCGAGTTACAGTATGAAACCACCTGAAAACCACTATAAAAAAAGCGTTAAAAAATTGATGATTCACGAGACAGTAATGTTTTATTTTACATAACCACTAGCAAAAAATGCCTTCAGCCAGATTCGAACTGACGATCTCCTCATTACTAGTGAGGTGCCTTACCAACTTGGCCATAAAGGCTTAATACATTGGGAAGGAAGTGCTATTAGATACTGGACGTATAGAGAAGGAGCAAAATTTATGGACAAAACTGGCAAATTTATAGTCTGAGAATCTCAAGCTTGTAGAGGAACCAAAAGGTGACTTTAAAATCGCGATTTGCCCAAATATTGCGCCTAATACTTCCAGTTAGTATGATCCTGCATATAGACCTAAGTTTAAGCCCATCTCAGTGATTGCAATTATACCCTCCATACTAAGGATGAAGGTAGATCCTGATGTGGCCAACTCTACTTCACAAGCATTGCGAGAGATCTCCCGAAGCGTGCAGAAGCATTTAGAAGTGGCAGACGATGATGCCACTATTGCGAAGTTTGTTCTCAACTTGTACGATAGCGTTCCTGGACCTCATCGAAATGACGATGATACGCTTATTAGATTCAAAAAAGTACTAGCTGATAATGGAGGTGATGATTTTCCCGAGCAGTTCGTGCGAGAGTGCTTATCCATAGCTACTAGCAACGAGACCCCCAAACAGGATCCACAACCAATAAAGCTTGAGCGTGACCCCATCATAAAACAAGAACACGATCCTATTGTCAAGCGAGAAGAACCTGAATCGAATATGGAGTTTTCAGGCTTAAGCATTCCTAACCAAAGAGTTAAGGTAGAGTGTGAAGTGAAGATTGAAGATGATGATACCAATAAATTTGGCAGGTCTAATAGATTGGTGGTGGGTAATGTGTACAAGGGCTTTGTGAGTAGCATAACATCATACGGTGCGTTCATTCGATTGAATAGTCCTCGATCTTTCCAGTCAGGTCTCTGCCATATCTCGCAAATTTCATTTGATGGAAGATCAAGAGTAAATCAGGTGTCAGACGAATTGAAGTTCAACCAGGAGGTATTTGTGAAAGTTACGAGTATTGAAACACCACCAGAAGGAAGTAAGAAAAGATTCAAAGAGAAGATCTCCTTGTCAATGAGGGGCATCGACCAATTAACGGGCTTGGACAAGACTGAGGAGTTGGAAAAAACAGATTACGAGGAAAGAAGAGGTAGGGAAGAAAGACGAATCAATGAAATACCGAAAGGTGTCAAAAGAAAATTCACTTCACCCGAGAGATGGGAAATCCGTCAACTCATCGCCTCCGGAGCCGTCTCGGCAGATGACTATCCAGATATCATGGGTCAGGAAGATCCAAACGCCGCCTTTGAGGATGACTCAAAATCCCAAGATAAACATGCAGAGGTAGAAATCGAAATAGAGTTAAATAAGGAAGAGCCTAAATTCTTAAAGGGCCAAACCCAGAACTCTGTTGAGTTAGCCCCAGTGAAAGTATTCAAAAATCCGGAGGGGTCCTTGATTAGATCAGCTATGAATGGCTCAAAATTCTCCAAGCAATTTAAGGAAGACAAAATCAAGGAAAAGAAAGAAAAGGAGAAAGCCGAAAAATTAGAAAGCATGAAAAAGAAAGAATCCCACGATCCCTTGCTTGTCCAGAGGAAAGGCAACCACGATGAACCAGGATCCAGTGTTGATTTAAAGACAAGAAAATTCATCTCTGACTGGAAAAATTCCCAAAAATCAGTTACATACGGAAAAAGAACTAGCTTATCGATGAAACAACAGAGGGAATCACTTCCCGTGTACGCTATGAGGGAAGAGTTGGTCAGAACGATTAGAGACAATCAGTTTGTAGTGATCGTTGGTGAGACTGGTTCAGGTAAGACTACACAAATCGTGCAGTACATAACGGAAGAAGGAATGCACATAAATTTTAAAGGAGAAGCCAAGATAGTTGGTTGTACGCAACCAAGAAGGGTTGCTGCACAATCAGTTGCAAAAAGAGTCTCGGAAGAAGTGGGGTGTGCTCTTGGTGAAGAAGTCGGATATACAGTGAGATTTGATGATAAAACGAGTCCCAGGACCAAGATAAAATACATGACGGATGGTATGCTTCAACGTGAGGCTTTAAATGATCCTTTTATGAGGAAGTACTCCGTGATTATGTTGGATGAGGCCCACGAAAGAACAATTGCCACAGATGTGTTGTTTGCATTAGTAAAACAAGCTGCGCTGAAGAATCCAGAATTGAAAATTATTGTCACTTCAGCCACATTAGACTCCCAGAAATTCTCGAGATTTTTCAATAACTGTCCAGTGTTGAATATTCCAGGAAGAACATTCCCCGTGGAGGTGTTGTATACCAAGGAACCAGAAATGGACTATCTTCAGGCTGCTTTGGATTCCGTGATCCAAATTCATATTTCTGAGCCTGAGGGCGATATATTGGTCTTTTTAACGGGTCAGGAGGAGATTGATACCAGTTGTGAAGCTTTGTTTGAACGAATGAAAGTATTGGGTGAATCTGTGCCAGAATTGATTATTTTACCGGTTTATTCAGCATTACCCTCCGAAATGCAAAGTAGGATTTTCGAGCCTACTCCTCCTGGGTCTAGAAAGGTGATTCTTGCTACCAATATTGCCGAAACATCGATCACCATCGATGGTATTTACTATGTCATTGATCCAGGATTTGTGAAGATGAACGCATATGATGCTAAAGTGGGGATGGACTCTTTGATGGTTTCGCCAATATCACAGGCCCAGGCAAGACAGAGAAGTGGAAGAGCAGGAAGAACAGGTCCAGGAAAGTGTTACCGGTTGTACACTGAAAACGCGTTCAAAAATGAAATGCTCCCCAATACCATTCCCGAGATCCAGCGTCAGAACCTATCATACACCATCTTGATGCTCAAGGCAATGGGTATCAATGACATGATGAACTTCGACTTCATGGACCCTCCACCTGCCAACACAATGTTAACTGCGCTCCAGGACTTGTACACGTTGTCAGCACTAGATGACGAAGGCTTATTGACCACGCTTGGGCGCAAAATGGCAGATTTCCCCATGCAGCCAGCTTTGGCCAAAACATTGATTGCGTCAGTGGAGTTCGGGTGCTCAGAAGAGATCTTGAGCATCGTGGCCATGCTCTCAGTGCAGACGGTATTTTACAGACCCAAGGACAAGCAGAACGCAGCCGACCAACGAAAGGCACGGTTCCACCACGCCCATGGCGACCATCTTACTTTCTTGAACGTATATAGGGCATGGACCTTGAACGATCATAGTAAGCAGTGGTGCCAGGATAATTTTATCCAAGAACGAAGCATGCGACGTGCACACGAAGTACGTCGCCAGCTTGTGACTATCATGCGCAAATATGGCCATGCCATCGAGCTGTGTGGAACCCAGCTTGATCGGGTACGGAGGGCGTTGGTGGCGGGGTTTTTTAAGAATTCTTCGAAGAGAGACCCTCAAGAGGGATATCGCACTGTCAACGAGCAGACCCCGGTTTTTTTGCATCCATCGCTGTCACTCTTTGGAAAGAACCCCGAGTATGTGCTCTACCACACCTTGCTCTTGACCACCAAGGAGTACATGCACTGTGTGACCATCATCGAGCCAGGTTGGTTGGCGGAGTTGGCGCCTTCCTACTTCAAGGTAGCGGATCCTGGCCGTAAAAAGGGAGGCAAGATTGTGCCATTGCAAGGGAAAACCGACTGGCGTCTCAGTGCCCACCATGAGGTAAAGCGGAGGGCATTGGAAAATATGTAATGACAGTAATTTTAGCATACTTTCTAGAGTAGAAGCACTCTTGAATAATAAAAGCGTAGTAGATGCAAAAAAAAAGCTACCAAAAGGGATATTAGTCTACTCATCTCTCATAATTCACCTCAACAGCTCAATTAATATGTTATGAGCTATTATGATGTATTATCTGCTGCTCAATGAATTTTCAAGATATTTCCAATTACAAGAATACAGATTGACAATAATTTCAGCTAGACCAGGAGAAAACGTAGTGTAGACAACTAAGAACCCAGCGTAATTGATTAAAAATATAGGAGAAACATGTGTACAATACTGTAAGAAACCAAAACCCCATGCAATACCCTGGAACTTCTGCCCTATGCCACGGAGAAGGAATACCATGTGCCTATTGTACGAATATTAATCACAAGTCTACGGAACGAGCCCTTATTCCAGCACAGAAATCATAATCAGAGCTGATTCGAGGTCTATACTAGCAGAAGAATATCGAATCGAAAAATCTACTGGTTTTTCTAGTTCTATTAATTTATACCTGTGTTCTTCTATCAAATCCAGTTTCCTGTAGTTACATTAGTATACCCACTTGGCCAATCTTCTAGTTATTCTAGTTTTATTAATTTAACTGATTCTCTCCAGCCGAATCTCTTTCATAACTCTAGCTAGATTAACGATTCTCTCCTGCCGAATCTGCCGCTTTCATAACTCTAGTTAGAATACGATTCTCACGTGCCAATTCCGAGTTTCCTCCAGTTCCATTACACCAATGCCCTCTCCCCAAACACCACTAGTTCCCTCTGGTCAGATTACTCCGATTCTCTCCTATCAGATCCCCTCCTTTCCTTTAGTTACTTTTATACCGCTTGTCTCCCACAAACCCACTAGTTCTCTTAATCTCCCACTAATCTCTCGCACGCATTTCCCCAGATTTCCCGCTAGTCACACGCTCCGCCTGCCTGAGTCGCACGACAATCACCGCGAGACTCACCCCACTAAAACTCCACTCTACTCCGCTCACACTCCACCCCTCATATTTCCCGATGCTACCGTCGTAGAAACATCCCCCATCCCTCCTCTAAACCTCCATACCACCTTACATAGGATAGGCTCCATATCCGTTCCTAACCCGTAGCCTCCACTATCCTCTTATCTCAATTCCGTATAATTCTTCAGCTGCAACAGGGGAAAAAAAGTGAATGTGATCGCAAAAAACGTAATCACACCAATTACCACTGGCCAATCTTATTCTGCTTGTGGACGGCCTTTGCACAGTCCATTGTCTGCTACACTCCTAGACGTCTGCCATTCCAGACATTTATACCAACGCATCTGGCTTACGCACATTTGACACCTCCAGTGGTGACATTTTCAACACCAGCAACCAGTACCCAGGCACAGTTCCACTATGAAAAGCGCCCGATATACTAAGGATGCCATCAACAACCGGCTCAGCTTGTACAGTTCGACGTCCACCATCCCAATCTCCGGTTTGAAGCCATTAAAACGCCGTTTTCCCGGCCTGCTGTCCATTGCTAGCACCGAAGGAACATCCGACACCAGTGTGCTCGACTGTTGTCCGTTGGATACCGACAGCAAGGGCAACTTTGTGGATAAACATGGCCGCAAGGTCACTCTCAAGGGAATCAACGTGGACGGGTCCATGAAACTACCAGCAGAACCAAACTTGCCCAGCTACAAAGGCGACTCCAGCAAGTACGACGACATCTTCTTTGACGGAGACAACGTGACGTTTGTGGGCAGGCCATTCCCCTTGGACGAAGCACACCTGCACTTTCTGAGAATCAAGTCCTGGGGCTATAACACCATTCGTTACCTTCTCACATGGGAAGCCATAGAGCATGCTGGACCAGGAAAGTATGACGACGAGTTTGTTGACTACACCATAAAGATCTTGTCGATTTTGCACGAGGTAGGGGGTCTTTACGTGTTCTTGGAGATGCATCAGGACGTGTGGTCCCGATTCTCTGGTGGTAGTGGTGCCCCTATGTGGACCCTATACGCGGCTGGATTGCAACCCACCAGGTTTTCGGTGACAGAAGCAGCCATTATCCACAACGATTCTCGTTTTCATGACGATGAAGCCCTGGAGATGTACCATAAAATGATTTGGGCGTCGAACTACAAGCGTTTGGCCACAATGGTGATGTTCACGTTATTCTTCAGTGGTAGAACGTATTTTCCTGGCCTAGTTATTAATGGCCAGAATATCCAAGACTATCTTCAGGATCACTATCTCAATGCAATTGCACATATTTGGAAAGCAGTCAATCAAAAATTACCTGAAATGATCAAGGATGGTACCATCATTGGGTTTGAGCTGATGAACGAGCCAAACAGAGGTTTGATAGGGCATGAAGATTTGTCGTTCATCCCCGGAAATCAACAGCTTCGTGTTGGAACCACCCCAACAGTGTACCAGTCCATGAGATTGGGAATGGGGTTTCCATGTGAAGTTGATGAGTACAGAATTGCCTTGACTGGCCCTCAGAAGTTCGCAACAAGGTTGATTGATCCCAAGGGTCAAAGATCATGGCTCTCTGTTGAAGAAGCTAAGGTTATTGATAAGAAATATGGCTGGAAAAGAGGTCCTAAATGGAAAATGGGCGAATGTATTTTTGCTCGTGAAGGTATCTGGCGCTGGGATAAAAGCATTGATTTTGAGAACTTTGCAAACCTCACCGAGGAAAAGCGTCTTGACATAAGTATTGGAAGGTGTGAGTTACGCTATCCAAACCATTTCAATCAAGTCTCCAAGAGACATAACCATTGTGCCCTCAATGGTATTATGCCTAGTACTATTAACTCAGAGTATTTCATCAACAACAATTTTGTTGAATACTACGCAAAGTTCAAGAAAATAATCAGGGATATTTCACCTGATGTTTTCGTTTTTATACAACCACCGGTGCTCGATGTACCACCAAACTTGAAAGATGACCCAAGCGAAATCATCGACAAAAAGACAGTCTACTGTCCTCATTATTATGACGGAATGTCACTAATGTTTAAAACGTGGAATACGAAATACAATGTGGATACTTTGGGAATTATGCGTGGCAGGTACTTGAATCCAGTTCTTGGTATCGTATTCGGGGAGAGAGCAATTAGAAATTGTATTAAAAAGCAATTTGTTGAAATGAAAAGGGAAGCAGAGGAGTTCTTGGGGAATATCCCTGTACTTATGTCAGAGACAGGGATGCCTTTTGATATGGACGATAAAAGATCCTACGGAAACGGTAAATACATCAGTCAAACTGCAGCATTGGATGCAATCAGTAATGGGTTAGAGAGTCTGAATATGTCTCACACATACTGGTGTTATACCAGCATCAATTGTCATGAATGGGGAGACAGATGGAATAACGAGGATTTCTCTTTTTGGTCATCGGATGATAGAAATAATCAGAACTATGATGATAAATCCTCTCCTGCAACCCCACAATCAATGAGTAGAAGAGGCAGTATCATAAAGACTATCAACCTGAAATCACGGAGGGCAAGTGATGCTGCTAACATGATTAAAACTAAAATACAGCGTGCTGGATTGACTCCAAAGTCCAAATTACGGCCCAATACGGAGACTTCTTCGTCTCCAGAAGCTGCAGAAAAGGAGTCTGATGATGAGAATACTGACTCTCAGTCAATCCAGGATTCATCGTTGATTTCAACTACAAGTGAAAACGTGCAGTACAAGTACAATAGAAAATGCTTTGCTTCACCAGACGGAGTAAGAGCCACAAACGCCGTTATTAGGCCTTTTGTGGTTGCTACGAAGGGTGACATTGTGGGAGTTGAATTTGATTACAGAGCAGTTAAATTCGGACTTTCCTTGTTCATTGATAAATCTGATTCCAGTCTCATAAACACTCCTACGATCATCTTTGTGCCAAAATGGCATTTTCCATTCTTGAACTATGGAGATATTTACCTTAGTTCCGGTCATATCAAGTATAACGAATCATTGGAATATTTGGAGTGGTATCACGATGGTGAAAATTTAGATGCAGAGACCAACTCACCCGACGGTGTTGAAACTATCATCATCAAAAACAATAGTGGACTCTTAGACGAGAACAAGGTTAGGGAACAGGGTATTTTACCGTATGTGGGAGAGCTCAAATGCCCCACAACATAGACTTTCAAAATCTACTGTACATCTATTTATATTTATTAGTTTTGATAATCAATATTATTATACAGCATACCCCAGTAATCCTCGTCGTGTTCACCATTCAAAAGCTCAAATCCTCTTCTCTAGCTCTTTTTGAAATACCTTGCAACTCATCCGTGATCATGTCATTGACAAACTTAGAGAAATATTCCACGTAAGGTTTCAAACTAGTTCGTTCATAGTCAGCTAACTTCTTGTCGCTATCATTAGATGGCGAGTTCTGCTCCCAGGAGTCCAATTCCTTTTGCAATATTCTTAAGTTTGGAGCAGTCATTGGGTTAAATCCATAGCTGTCATCTTGTGAATTACCTGATATATTTTGGGTTGGGTCGAACGGAACACAGACGTTACCAGTTCCTGGATGGATACAGAATGGAGATTTTAACAAGTGGATGACTTGCCTGGAGACCTCAACATCTAGCCTTGGGTACATGTAATAAATAATGATATCTTTTCTGGCATCAAGCAACTGGTTAGCTTGGGCAGTACTTTTCAACACGCTCTTGGCAACCACGTTGATGTCTTCCCACTTGTCTCTCGATGTTGAGATGCCACTGCTGCTCTTCCACTTGCTTCTCAACTCCTGCTGCAATTTATTGTCTGGAAGGAAAGACAATAACTCTTCGATTTGAGTCCAACTTTTGGCATCCGAAGCTGTATCAGGAGCAGTGAACCATGGATCCTGGTCGTTCAATATAATTTCCACAAACTCCTCACTCAAGATTTCTAATGATCTTTCCACATGGGGGTGCAATGGTCTCTTGACCAGCAATGGCTTTTTGGAAGATAACTTGGACTGTTTGGATGCTAAAACGTCCATGTAGTCAATGATAGACTTTCTTGTAACTTCATTCATCTGACGTACTCTTGGGTCACTTATCCAACAATGGGCACCTCTTCTTCCCGAGAAGACCCACACCATGTGCTTGAAACCGAAATCGTCTCTTAAGGCAGCGTCCATCACCTTGGACCCAACGCGGATGAACTTCCAGCATTTTTTGCAGATGTCGGTCTTTTGACAGCAGGTTCTGATGTCATCGTAATCTGTCAAATCGATATCGAAAACCAACTCTTTGGACTCGGGCTTCATGGCGGTTTTGGGAAGGTTCTTTCTTTCCTTGGGGTTCACAGCGTATACTGCACCCACTTCGAAACGGGTAGGATTGGCATTGATGACGGACTGCTTGAACTCGTCCACGCTTCCGTAGGAGTTGTATCTTTGGTACGCACCAGTACGGAACTCAAAGGCAAACTCTCTCATGGTGAAGTCTTTGGTCACTTTGGGGGAATGGCTCAACCATTTGAAAACCTGTTTGAATGGGAGTAAACGTTTGTAAAAAAAGAGCATGTCCTCGGAGGAAGGCTTGAAGGAGCTTTGGCTCGGTTCCTCCAGAGAGAACGACTTCATGGTGGCGTCTGAGCCTGATTTGTCCTCGCTAGTCATGATGGTAGAGATGGATATCAGACGCGTCGCGATATATAGATGATTGGAGTGGGCACTACCATGGATATTGGGCCTATATAGATGGTTATACAACTACAAATGATTAACGGTGGAGGTCGTATAATCGACATCTACTCAACCTAGTAGTTATAACTTACTATATTCACTCAGAAGGTACTGATTCTTGGTACTGAATTTTAGAATTCAGCATACTAGTTGTTTCGCACAATGCAAAGAGGGAAGTGGGAAGGTAACGAGTAGACACACATTCTGATAAAAAAGGTAATGCTGTAGAATCTTGGGGAAGTAACAAGCAAAACTGGTGGAAGCAGCTTTTTGCTGGGAATGTATATATAACTTCGAGCTTCATGACGGAAATGACCACCTTGGCTGCGAAAAGACAATTGCAACCGTTCTACGAGCCAGTGGAGTTAATTCTCGTCAGGTGCTACTCCACAACTCCATGAAGTTGATAACATTGAAGTCTACGGCTTATCTCTAGGGGAAAGTATTAATTTCTAGATTATGTCCACTAGACTACGTTAAGGCTTAGGGAAATAATTTCATTTCCAGATAATATCCACTAGACTACTCTTCATCTCACCTGACAAAGCACAAATCGAGATCTAGTCATTCCTCTGCGGTTGATGGTAGTAAGAAGAAGATTCTGTACTGAATCCAAGGAACAATATTGCAACAATTCTTCGAAATTATTCTATTCTGGTCTATGGGTGTATTCTAGGCACTGTTGATTGGATGGCCAGCTGTAGCTCTGTCATTATGCTAACATGCTTGATACTAATATACATAAACTATTCGTGGTGGAAAATAAGCGAGACACCCTCATCACCTGCAGTCACCAACTTCTTGCCATTATCAACAATAGCAAAGTCCAAAACTCCCATGTTGTGACCAACTCCTGCAAAAAGTTCACCTCCAGTTCTGGCGTCCCATTTGTAAATCTTACCGTTCATGGAGGAACCAACCAAAGTTGGAGTATTGTTAATGAATTCCAACTTGGTGATGGCATCGTCGATCTTGATGCTCTTACGCAATCTCCATTGTTGGGTCTCGAAAAGTAAAAGGTCACCAGAAACCAAACCCACAGCAAGCAAGTTGATTTCTGGAGATGTGCACCAAGCAATGGCTTCGATGGAGAGCTCAGCGATGTCGTCGACGTTGTCCAATGTCTTCAACGAGTGCACTGGTTTACCAGTATCGTTGTTGACAATGACCAACTGTCCGTCACGGCCACCAACAGCGAAAACGTTCTTGTAGATCTTGATCGTCACCCAAGGACTTTCCACACTTCTGAAGTCGGTGTGGGGCAGCAATTTGAAGTTGACTGCACCAGTGAAACAGTTCCAGTTGACAATGGTACCGTCCTCGGAAATGGTGATCAAGGTCAAGTCATTCTCATCCTTGCCCTCGAAGAAAACACCTCCGTTACACTCAAGAGAGTGGGAGAATCCTGACATAATCTGGACCAATCCTGACGATTTGTCGATTTGGTACACCCATACGGAACCGTCATTGGCACCAAATGCAAAGTATGGCAAGGTTGGGTGTGCGGTGATCCACAACACCTCTTCGACCTCTTCCAACTCACCAAATTTGACCCACTTTTCACCTCCCTTGGTGGCCTTATGCACCTGGATGAACCCAGCCATGTCACCAGTGATGACGAAATCGCCTCCAGCGGTGAATGCACCAGCAATCACCGACTCCTTGTGGCCAGCAAGCTCTCCCACGAATCTTGGAGGCTGCGAGTGAGTAGTCCACATGTAGGCAGTGTCATCGGCACCACCAGTCACCACTAATGGGAGCTTTGGATGCTTGAAAATAGTGAAGATACTGTCCTTGTGCTGGTCGAAGTAACTCCACGAGTTGTTGGACATATCGATTTCCAAGGCGTCCTGGTCCTCGTCCATGTCCTCGTCGTCGTCTTCGGGAGCTGGAGCGGTTTCATCGTCAGCAACCTCTTCTGCTACCTCATTGACGTCCAAGAATTCTTCCTGGTCTTGTTCCTGTTCCTCGTAGGGACGTTCTGGATATTCCTGTGACATTTTAGAGAGCTGTGTAGTATATCAAGAGGCCCTGGCCGTGGTAGACTATGCTCTTGTATCCTAAATCAGTGGCAAAGTCATTATTAAGCTTATCGATGAGCGAAAAATTTGAGACGGTATACGGGACTGTATGCAGGAGACCTACCCCGATGATGATGCGCTCTCCCCGGACCAAACTCCACAATCTGAGCCTATCCACCTCGAGCATACACCTCCAGGAAGGCCCATACTACTCGTAACGTGCTAGAAATGTACCAAGTGCTTTGTTGCGGCTCGAACGGCCAGTATCAGTTGGGCATCGGCAACGATACTGACCAGCTGGAGTTGGTGGCTGCGAAGTTCGAAATCGACGGAACCGTCACCACACAATTGGCAGCTGAGCCTGTTGAGGTCGTTTGCGGTGGAAACCACACGTTGGTGCTCTTTTCCACGGGCGAAATCTACAGCTGTGGTGATAATACGTTTGGCCAATGTGGACATCAAGGAGGCCAGACCATTGAAGTGTTCAGAAAAATCGATGGCAAGTGGGCTAAAGCTGCCTGTGGCTGGGAATTCACCATCCTCGTGGACCTTGAAGGGAAAGTGTACTCATGTGGCCGAGGACTTAAAGGCGAACTCGGACTAGGCAAAGGGGTGGACGGAAATCAGCTCCGTGAAGTTATCGACTTTGGGCCACAAGCAGTTCTAAGCGTGCGTTCTTCGTTGAACCACACAGTGGTTCAATTGGCTGATAAGCGTCTTTTTGGATGGGGAAATGCCCGAAAGGGCCAATTGGGTGTCCAGAATGCCATTGGCACCAAGCTCGAGTCTGTGATATGGCAACCACGCCAGCTCAAGTTCGAAGGGTTGGACGACCTCCAAGTGCGCTTTTTCGACGTCGGGAGAGATTACACGGCCTTCTACTCCAACGACTACAAAGAGTACGGTAAGAAAGCAACGGAGAAAGTGCATGTGAATGGAGACGTGGTTGGATTGAGGACCATGTGGTCGTCGTCCCACTTGCTAGTCAAGAACGAGAAACACCTTTCTATCAAGTCGTTTGGCAATGATAGCCATGGCCAGTTGTTCCCGCAAAGTGCACATCCAGTAGTCCAACAGTTCGAAATTGGCAGCGAACATGGACTAATCTTGACGGATCAGAACTCGGTTATGGCGTGGGGATGGGGAGAGCACGGAAACTGTGGAGAGAGGTCAGGCGATGAGGTATACGAGGATGACTTGAGCGCTGCTGCCGTCACTTATTCCCTCAACACCATCTACAATCAAGCACATCCAGTAACCCGATTGGGAAGCGGATGTGCTACCTCATGGATAACCATAAGGAAACTGTGACGAGGTATCTTTCCCATATTCATTGCAAAAAGCTCAATATGGAAAATATGTTCAACGTATTATTCTGGGACAACCGTATCGATGGCCAGCCAACGGCGATGGTACCGGATAAATCCAGTGCACACAACATGAACAGCCAACTTCTTAGTCGTCCATACGGAATAACGTTGCCGCTACTCCGTATGGTTAAGTGTAAGTTGGATGGAGAATTTTCTTGAAGGGTATAGAATCTTCTCGAGGGCCGGGTAACTGCGTATCACGTGACCATTATTCTAATAAAGGCACCAGGTATTCCTGCCCTAATAAGGGCTTTATCTCCAAGTGAAAGAGTGTACAGAAGCAGAGTTTCAATATGTTCGGTGCTGTGTGCTCAGGCAGACCCATCCAATTGGCGGAGCAGGTCGAACCCACAAAATACGTCGTCACCGTGCCCAATGCCAGCAACATCAACTTCATCACCATCTTCCTCCTTCCCAACTCCGAGTTCGTGGATGTCAACTACACAGCATTGATCTACTTCAAGTTGCCCTCGCAAGAGTTCCAATTGTTGGGAGGCATAAACCCCAACAAGCCTTCAGCCATCTACAGATTGAACAACAAGTCGGGGCTGGCCAACAGGGGCTCCAACGGAGACGAAATGAACATCGACGACTCTTCCATCAACTACAATGATCCCACCACCATCCAGATCGGAATATCTATAGAACCAACGCCACAAGCGGAAGTACTATTGACGCAACAACGAGAAAAGTCAGCTAGTGCATTGGTGCCAGCCAAGCCTGCTGCCCCCAACTCTGCAAATGACATAGCAGCGTTGGGAAACAAGATCGTGGGCCATGCATACAACTATTTGGGTAGTTTCATTGACGAAGCAGGAAAAGTCCCCATGAAGGCGTTTGATAACTGGTGGGATAAGTTCAAAACTAAGTTGGCTAACAACCCCAATTTCTTGGACACCTTGCAATAGAATTGTAACCTTACGAGCCCATGAATCATGCGTCACGTTGTTAGAGGTTCAATTGTGTATTCTCAATATACGATTCGATCGGGTAGTGGGAAGTTATACTCAAGGAAGTGACATGAGAATCATGCTTTATTGATTACAAGAGGCATTCGTCAATAACATTTGATTTCTTAAGAAACTAGAGTCTTCGATTTCTGGTAAATCTCGACCAATGGTACCATGAAATATCTTTCAGTGTGCTCTCTGGAGCTAGTTAATGAAGTTGCATACATTGTATAACTTGAGGTTTCCAGAGTTCAACTCGTCGTTCGTCAGTGTGGATCCTAATGAATTCCTAAAAATTGGAGGATAGAAACTAATTCACGCACTTAATAGCTATTAAAGGTGTAATTACTTGTAAGAGACTGTCAAATTGGCAGCTACTGAGTCTTTACTCATGCCAGCAAATCACAAGCATAAATGAGATGGGGTCCTGTGAATTTATAGAATTAACCTAGTAATCTTTACTTTTTCATGTATTCTGGATTAGAGTCTTTGGCCTTTCCAGATTCAATCGAAAAACTGATACTAATGTTACCTGTCATAATATTTAGGTCCCGGTTCCCAGATCGATATTAACTACCTAGTACTCTATTGTTGGTGGTATATCTACACAATCTTTTAGTAAAGCTTTCTTTCACGAAATCTAAGCCTATCAGACTGTCTTTTCGCAACCAATCCGAAGAAGTGTGTTAGTGGGAACGAATAGAGACGCTCGTGAACGATTATGCACCGGCGGTTGCCCGTTCGTTCCCTACGAAATAAGCAAGACTTTTCAGAGTTAACATAGAGACAAACTCGCAGTTTAGTAGCAACGATTTTACGAAATACCTACACTATTGTAGTATAATCAAACTGATGTGCTTTCGAGCTCAAGTAAGAGCTATCACCCGAGATTCAGTAAGGATCGTGATTCGGCTCGAATCAGTAGTACTATCCCCGAGTTTCGATATTAGCATATTCTACAGTTTAAGCCTATAAATAGGGTCGAATTTGCTCGATTGTTCATAGGTCATTCTACCGAAACATCCTTACCTCACAAATCATTTCTCCGATGGTTCCAAACTTGCTCTCGGCCCAGTGACGCCTGTGGTGTGCATTCAGGGTATTTTCCTAATTTGTCTGATTCCTGCCCCATATTGCCCCGCACAAATATATCTGCGATGCCCTTGGCGAATTGTGCCCCACAAATGGCCAGCAAGAGGCGTGAAACAAATACTTGGGCGTAAGGGCTTATGGCAGGCGTGGACCCCACTGGGTAGTGCACCCGTTTCAGCCGTTTCTTAAGCCTCGTTTGCCCCCAGTTGGGCAATGTTCCCACCCCTAGTTGTCCTACGGTAGAATTCTCGGTCTCGCAACAAAGTATCCAAACCATATGACTAACTATATTAGTGTGTCGTGGCGATGAGGCGTTGGTGGGTATAACGCTCGGGGAAATGCGGTTATGACGTAGATTTGTGGAGACAGCTAGTATAAGAAACTGGGGATTCTTCTCATTTCACTGGCCATGTCTGCTAAGTCTGAAAGTAAAAAGCAGGAAGTACGCTCCTCCACCAAAGTGGTGGTAGAGACTCCAGCGGAGGAGGCAGACCTTTCCACAATGTCCTACTTCGAAAACACCTCCAAACCTGAAAAAAGACCACCGTTGGAATATCGTCCTAGCGAGTTCCACTTGACCTCTGGAACCCAGGAGAACCCACCTCGGGAACAATTCGAACTAGCAGACGCCAACGAGGCCGATGTGCTGAATCCCACCACGGCTACTGTACAGAGAAAAATGACATTCACCTACCCGTCAAAGAACTTCTATCGTTATGTCACTGCGTGCTCGTGGGCATTCTTTGGAGGGTTCAATGACGGTGCTGTCGGGGTGCTCTTGCCATACATTCAAATGCAATACCATCTCTCGTACTCCAAGGGCGCATTGGTGTGGCTTTCGACCTCTATAGGCTACATCTTGGTGGCCTGTTTCGCCAACCGCATCCACCAGACGTTTGGAAGAAAATCGCTCGCTATTGGGTGCTTGTCGTCGGTGATTATGGCCATTCTCGTCTCCACGGGTGTCAATTATCCCGTGGTGGTGTTTGGATTCTTTTTCAGCGGTATTGGAACCGGAATCGTGGTTTCGCAACTCAACGTATTCGTCAGTGGTTTTGATAATTCTTCCGTAGCTTTGGGATATTTCCATGGAATTTATGGATTGGGAGCATCAGTGTCACCATTAATTGCTACCACCTTCGTTGACGCTGGAGTTAGGTGGCATTATTTCTATATTATATTGGCAGTTGCCATGTTTGGGTGTGCCGTGAATTCGTACTTTTCATTTGCCCACGGCGAAGATCAGCTTAAGCAATTCGAACCTCCAGAAACCGAAGCAGTGGTCGACTCCCAGAACTTGATGAAGGCAGCACTCAAGAACAAAGTCACTTGGATAAATTCTTTATTTGTCTTGTTCTACCAGGGAGGTGAGGTAGCAATGGGTGGTTGGACCACCACCTACCTTCGTGATTACAGACACCACACCAGGGCCTCGATCGGATACGTTACCTCGGGTTACTGGTTCGGTTTGACCTTGGGCAGAATTTTCTTGACCAACATAATGCACAGATGGATTGGTGCGAGAAGAGGCAATGGCATTCTTGCAGTGTGTTCCATTTTGTTTGTGCTTCTCACCTGGGTGATTCCTACCTTGGGTGTAGAAATTGCAACAATCACCTTAAGTGGTATTTTCATCGGTCCTATTTATCCCTTGATGATTACTTACGTTGCCCTGGAGGGATTAATCCCCAGAAAAATTCAGGTGGTTTCTTTGACCATCACATCAGCATTTGGCTCCTCAGGTGGTGCCTTATTCCCATTTATTGTCGGCTTGATCTCTCAATTTGCCGGGGCCTATGTCTTATTACCATCTTTTATTGCCATGTTCTCCATTATGTTGGTACTCTGGTTGTCTTTGCCCAACGTCGCTTATAGAGGCCAAGACAAGGGTATGGCTCATTACATTAAAAGAATCTGGTAAGTAGTGGGTAAATATTTGTCAAATAGTAGTTGGGATGGAACAGTACACTAGAGCTTAAGGTGTGCATCTATGATACTACTAAGATACACTGTACTCCGATGCAAGGTGGGTTATCCCAGGAAAATTTCAGGAATAAAAAATATACTCGGGGTATATCTCTTCGGAAATCAGATACACCATACAGAGTTGTTTTTTAGTGTTTAATAAAGCTTATAAAGGTATATCTGGTCGGAAGTGACCTTAATAAAATATGCAATAATGATTTCGTTAGCAAGCGTCGAAAGTTTAACCAAGCATTGCTTCCCCTGGCAAGCTGAATGTTTCCACGGAATGTTTCCACGGAGATGTAGTAATATTCTTTAAAATTCTGTAAATAATGTGTCATTGTAATGTCACTTTCAACTGGATGTTTAGCAACATATATAACCAGCCATATTCATGAAGATTATTCTTTTTGCTGGTTTCTGTAAACTCTTTGTAATACTATGAGTCAAATTATTGTCTGGGTCAAATTCCTAAGACAATACCAAATACTGACCACATGCTGAAGTTTCCAAACCAAGTAGGTGAGGTTCTTGTAGTCACACAATCCACTGCGAGAACTATCAACTGGAAAATTACTACCAACAAAATACCAAATTGCATACTATCGTTGTTAGCATTTACAGGCGTGAGTCCCCCAACCCCCGCTTCTGTGCTTGCTTCTGGGTATGTCTTCCAGACCATTCTGGGATCCGGATTTGGCATATTTTGGATAATGGTATCAAGTTCAAGTGGAGAGGTGGCTTGGTGTACCCCTAATAGAAAGCCTTGGTCATGAAAATGGTTGAAACCAACCTCAAAACTGGCTGGAGAATCAGGAGAAGTTACTCTTCTCAAAGAAAGTTTGGTGGGTGTGCTTAACCCATTCCAGGAAATATCAGAATGTAAGCTAGTTGAAGAATTTCTCTTACTAACTCCAAAGTCCCGGAACTGTGAATTCACAATTTCATCAGCAGACAATTCAAGCCCATGAATAAAAGCATCATTGGTAACACAATTGATATTTTGGTGTAAGTTTGAGCTGGAATTGTTACTTTCGTTCAAATTAAGTGATGTTATTGCTTCAGCACCTTCTACTTCGGGGTTCTCATCCAAGTTGAAAGAATTATGGGAAAATCGGACGTCAACCTCGTCAGGAACATCTGTACTCTCGACCAATATCTTACTCTTGGAAGAACCTTTCAAAGAATCACAATCAGCGGTGTAATCAATCTCACACAATGCCCCATATTTTAGGGAAAAGTCAGATAGATTTGAACCTTGTTCCAATTTCTCTAGACTATCGTCTGAAGCTGAATCACCTGAATTATTATCTGTTTCCAGAAGTACAACTTCAAGGATCCTTACTCCCACCATTAGGTCATAGTCCGAAGATTTTTCCCCAAGTATGGTCTCGATATTTTCGATTGGGACATTCTGAGCAACTCTAATATCCTTACTAGTGTAGTTAGAAAGAAAATCCAAAGCACCAGAAGTATAAGCCATTCCAGATTCCTGCAGAACGAGGAAAGAGAACAAACAGGCTTTGAGTATGAAACTTTTCTCAATAGTCCATACAAGGATGACAACAAGAATTGTAATCATCATATCCCGAATTAGATCAACTCTAGGATGGTCGACCTTTCCTCTGAGTGTTAAGTTCATGGGAAATACAAGAGGGTCTTCGTCACAATTTTTGACCAACTCCTCGACTTCAAATTCCATTCCAAAGAAGTCATTGCTAAAAGAGTCATCCTTTGCAAAGGCATCTAATTCAATTAATTTGTGTGTAGCAGCATTGGCAATCTTGTTGGTGTTTGCACAGGCTTCTAAGTGAGCAATTCCATGTGTACCACCACCTTCACAATTATCAGTCGCTTCATCAGCATCCAACACCAGTAAAACTAATGTGCAATTGTTTCTCTTATTGGTATCCTTCCCGCTGTCTGGCAAAAGGGTAATTCCTTGTGCCTCGGCGCTATTTGTGTAATTTGCGTTGACTGCAAATTGCACCAGTGTTTCTGCAGTTTCAAGAACTTCGTTACCAGAAGTGTCAACTCCCCTAGCCTCCAGGTGCATGACACTTTGTGCTGCATCTGCATGTGCGTCAGTATGGGTGGTCTTCTCAATACCTTGTGATTGCTGAAGTGTTTGAGTAGCTTCAACATCAAAGCTAGAATTGGTGTTCATCTCGGCTTCCCGGGGCGAGATAAGTTGAGCAACTTCAAATTCATCAATGCAAGGAACAGTAGCGGTCCCAATGCCTAGTAATTGCATAATGGCTTGAGTGGCTACCACGTTAATGCAATGATCAGTTGCATTTCCTTTAGCTTCTAAGTGGCTGGTGTCTGCATGTACATCGCAAGAAGTGTCGACCTTATCGGTCTCTAAGTTCGCAATGTCTGCATCTTCTTCATCAACATCGCACGAAGGTTCGACCTCAACTGTCTCGAAGTGTGCAATGTCTGCATGTTCTCCAACACCAACGATAGTAATGTCTGCATGTTCTACAACAGCATCACAAGGAGTGTCGATTTCAACGATCTCTATGTTCGCAGTGTCTGCATCTGCTTCAACGTCAACGCTAGTAGTGTCTGCATGCTCCTCAACCTCGCAAGGAGTGTCGGCTTCAACAGTCTCTAAGTGCGCAATGTCTGCATGCTTCTCAACATCACAAGGAGTGTCTGCATGCTCCTCAAAACTTGTTTGGTGTTCCTTTTTATTGTTCTCCCTGGCTTTAATACAACAAGATGACTTAAACCTGTTTGTCTTCTGGGCCTTCTTTTTGTTCTTTCTGACCTTACTCTTGGAAGGTTTAAGTCTTATCATTAAGCAATCATTAGGATTAATCAAATCAGCACCAGCTTTACGCTTAATCATACCACCATCAATAGAAGTTTCCCTCGAAACTTCAGTAGCCACAATTGGCTCAATCACACCGGCATCATAATTTGTTTCCTTCGAAACTTCAACAGCCACATTGGGCTTAATCATTACATCATCAACATTTGTTCCTTGCGAAACCTCATCTGCCACAAATGGCCTTTCCATACCAACATCAACATTAGTTTCCTCCGAAACTTCAGGAGCCTCATTAGGCTCAATCATACCAGCATCAACTTCAGTAGCCTCACTTGGCTCAATAATACCTTCATCACCATTTTTTTCCTTCACAACTTCACCTGCCACAAACAGCTTTTCCATACCAACATCAATTTTAGCTTCTTCCGAAACTTCAGCAGCCACATTTGGCTCAATCATACCAGCATCAACTCCAATAGGCTTTGTTGGCATTTCCATACCAAGATCAACCTTAGTTTCAGTTTTTTTGGAGCGTTTCTTCACAGTGTAGCACTGCTTCTTGGGCAACTTGGAAGCTTCGCTCTTCGTTGGAGAGCTTTTCTTTTCAAACAATGCTTCAGCCCAAGTGGGTGCATTTGCACCAGGGTTTTTGCTCTGGTGAGGAGCCTTCTCTTCATAAGAGGAAATGGTCATGTTGAGACGACCACAAACACCATT